CAACAAAGGCACTGGCAGCAAAATGAGTTGTAGTTATTGTATATCCTCGATAACATTTTTGTTTTTAGTCCTTTTAGATTTATCCATTCTTGTGGGTATGTGGCAGTATGTCATTGTGGTTTTAATTTGCATTTCCCTGATGACAAATGATTTTGGGCATTTTTTTGTTTTTTGGCCATTGATGTATTTTCCTTTGTGAAATTGTTTGAGTATTCTGCCCATATTTTAATAGTTTTTAGGTATATCCTCTGTAAAATATTTTCTCTTAGTCTGTGGTTTTCCTATTCATTTTCTTCACAATGTCTTTTAATAATCACAAGTTTTAAATATTAATGAAATTTGATCTATCAAATTTTTTTTCTTTTATGGCTAGTGCTTTTTTGGTCTTCTCTCAGAAATATTTAGCAACCTCAAGCAGAATTTCATTCTGAACATTATGGGACTGCATTAAAGGCTTTGATCTCACTGATTACCCTGGCTGCTGTGCGAAGAATACATTATAAAGCAGCAAGAGCGGAAACAGGCTAGTTAAGAGGCTACTATGGTAGTCTAGGAGAGAAATAATTGTACATTGGACTGGGGTTGTAGTGATGGGGGCATTGAAAAATCTGGAGTTAAAGATACAGGCTACTGAATTTGCTTATTTGGAATGTGTTATGAGAGACAGTCATGGAGGGAAGCAGTTCGGATGATTCTGTATTTCTGGTTTGAGCCACTGGATAAATAGTGGTGCCATTTACAGAATATCCAAAGCTACAATTGAGCAACGTTATTTTAAAGTCTAATGTATGTTTGTCAAGTAGTATGTTGTTCAATATAAAGTAATTGGAAGAGTGTCCCATAATACAAGAGACTTTTTAAGAAATTCAAATATATGATTATGGGGCACCTGAGCTGGCTCAGTCAGTTAAGTGTCTGACTCTTGGTTTGGGCTCAGGTCATGATCTCCTGGTCATGGGATCAAGCCCCAAGTTGGGCTCTGTGCTCAGCACAGAATCTGCTTGATCCTCTTCCTCCACCTCTGTCCCTCTCCCTGCTCAGGTGAGCACACGTGCGCTCTCTCTCTCAAATAAATTAAAAAAAAAAAAGAATTCAAATGTATGATTACTACCGTCTTTTCTAAGAAAGAATTTTAGAGGAAATTTTACTGGTTTTTTTTGTATACATGTAATAGAGTTGGTATGCATATTTGGAAGCATGTGCTAGAATGGAATCTAGCAATACAATACTTGATTGTTTCAACTTAACTGCTATTCTTGGAGCACCTGGCTCACTCGGTGGAGCATGTGACTCTTTTATTTTTTTTAAGATTTTATTTATTTATTTAGAGAGCATGCATGTGTGCACGAGCAGGGGGAGAGGGGAGAGAGAATCCCAGGTAGAGTCTGTGCTGAACGTGGAGCCTTGATGCAGGGCTTGAGGCAGGGCTCGATCTCACAACCCCGACATCATGACCTGAGCCAAAATCAAGAGTCAGACGCTTAACACACTGAGCCACCCAGGCACACCACATGTGACTCTTGATCTCAGGGTCGTGAGCTCAAGCCCTACATTGGGCATGGAGCCTACTTAAAAAAAAAATAAAATAAAAATAGGGGCACCTGGATGGCTCAGTTGGTTAAGTGTCTGCCTTTGGCTCAGGTCACGATCTCAGGGTCCTGGGATTGAGTCCCACATTGGGCTCTCTGCTCAGCGGGGAGTCTGCTTCTCCCCCTCACTCTCCCTCTGTGCTCTCTCTCTCTCTCAAATAAATAAAATCTTAAAAAAAAAATTAAAAAACCCCTGCTATTCTTTTGGTTTTTTATCTTCATTACCAATTTGAAGCTTTTTTGTGCATTTATAAAAACAAGTTAGTTTTAATAATCCTTTATGGAGATGGTCTTTGATCATAGACCATAATGCTGTTTTATATTTTTGTCAGAAAAGTACATTCTTAAGCATTAAGGTGATTCTTGGCTTCCCTGTAGACTTAAGTATGATTCTATATGTGGGAATCAAGTTTGAGCAAATCTTGAGTTATTATCAGCAAAAGTCATTGTTTCAGTAGTGATTTCATCGTATTGTATATATGCCAAGTTGTAAGTTTCTTTTCAAATTTATAGGAATTAGTTTATGATAGTAGAAAGAATTTTGGAATAGGAAAGGAACTGAATTCTAGTCCAGCTATGTGAACTTAGGCAAATCATTAACTTTATATATTTCATTTTCTTCATCTGTAAAATGAGGAATAATTGATTAAAGTTCTTTTAAAATCTGAGATTATAGCTTCTTACTGGTTTTGTGAAGATCTAGCTTTATAAAGATGTTTGAACCATCATGATATTAGAAACATTGAAAATTCAATCTTAGGGTGATTCATAAAAAGAAATGAACTGTGGGCATCTTGCCTGGCTCATAGAATGTTATTAAATCTGAATCACTGTTACCTATATCAAATTTAAGTCCATGACTAATAAAGCTACCTTTTCTCTCTTAATAACAGTTTCATTGAGATACAATTCATATACCGTACAATTCACTCATTTAAAATGTACAATTCAGGGGGCGCCTGGGTGGCTCAGTTTAAGTGTCTGCCTTTGGCTCAGGTCATGATCTCAGGGTCTTGGGATCGAGTCCTCGCGTTGGGCTCCCTACTCCGGGGAGTCTGCTTTCCCCTCTGCCCCTCCCCCCCCACTCATGCTCACACTCTCTCTCAAATAAAATCTTCTTTTTTTTAAAAGATTTTATTTATTTATTTGAGAGAGAGAATGAGATGGAGAGAGAGCATGAGAGGGGGGAGGGTCAGAGGGAGAAGCAGACTCCCTCCAGGACTGTAGGATCATGACCTGAGCCAAAGGCAGTCGCTTAACCAACTGAGCCACCCAGGCGCCCACAAATAAAATCTTTTTTAAAAAATGTACAGTTCAAGGCACCTGGATGGCTTGGTTGGTTAGCATCCAATACTTGGTGGTTTTGGCTCAGGTCATGATCTCAGGGTTGTGAGATCGAGCCCCAAGCTGGGCTCCATGCTTAGCCCAGAGTCTGCTTGAGATTCTCTCCCTCTCCCACTGCGTGCATACACATGCGCATGTGCTCTTTGTCTTTCTGTCTCTCTCTTTCAAATAAATCTTTAAAAAAATTAAAATGTACAATTCAGTGGTTTCTAGTATGTTCACAGAGTTGTGTAGCCATCACCAGAATCAGTTTTAAATGTTTTCATTAGCCCATAAAGAAAGTACATTTCACCTCAAACTTACAGCCCTAGGCAACCACTAATCTACTTTCTATCTCTCTAGATTTGCCTATTCTGAACATTTCTTATAAATATATGGCCTTTTGTGTCTGGTTTCACTCACTTAATATAATATTTTCAAGGTTTATCCATATTGTAGTATGTATCAACACTTTATTTCTTTTTGTTGTCAAACAGTATTCCATTATATACCACATTTTATCTGTTCATCATTTGATGGACATTTGGGTTGTTTCCACTTTTTGGCTATTATGAATAATGCTCCTACGAACATCTGTGTTAAGTTTTTGTGTGGGTATACATTTTTATTTCTCTTGGATATATATATATATCCCCACTAGGAGTGGGATTTCTGGGTCCTCTGGTAAGTCTACTTAATAATCATTTGAGGAACTTCCCCAGGCTGTTTTCCCAAGTGGCTGCACCATTCAACATTCCTACCAGCCTCTACATTCCTTCCAGCCATGTATGAGGGTTCCAGTTTCTTTACATCCTCCCTGACACGTAGCATTAGCTGTCTTTCTGGTTATAGTCATCTTAGGTGTGAAATGGTGTCTCATTGTGGTTTGATTTGCATTTCCCTGATGGTTAAGGATATTGAGCATCTATTAATGTGCTTATTAAGGCTAGCTCTTTCCCTAAAGAGTCAGCTGAGCATTCTGAAGTATCAAATAAGCAATGTCTTCTCACTCCTGCTAGAGAGTAAATCAAAGCCTAATTTAATCCACACATCTGTTTTCACCTTTATTTCTGTAAAATGTAACAATGAAGAATTTTATTGGAAGTAAGTATGACCTGTGTTTTAGTTAGAATTGTTACCTGTCTTTGGTTGGGGGACAGAACTTTCATTGATATATCTTTAACACTGAAATCTCGGCAATTTGCACAATCTTTCAAACGTTCATGAGTAAAACTACGTAGAAAGTATCTTAGTCACACGAAGATGGCAATGAAGCGTGTCTGGGAATCTGGCAGAAAACCTTTTCACATTTATAGAAGGAGTATTTCCCTTCTATCATAAAAGTTTTGTGGAAGGGGCGCCTGGGTGGCTCAGTCGTTAAGCGTCTGCCTTCGGCTCAGTTCATGATCCCAGGGTCCTGGGATCGAGCCCCGCATCGGGCTCCCTGCTCGGCCAGGAGCCTGCTTCCCCCTCTCCTACTCCCCTGCTTGTGTTCCCTCTCTCGCTGTGTCTTTCTCTGTCAAATAAATAAATAAAATCTTTTTTAAAAAAAGTTTTGTGAATTAATACAAGATATATAACTGTTTCAGGAGCATATTTAATTTGGGATGTGAACTAAAATAGGTTAGTCTGAAATGATACTTTTGTTAATAGAAAATTTATTGAGAATATTTAGTTTTAGGGGCACCTAGCTGGCTTAGTTGGTAGAGTGTGTGACTCTTGATCTCAGGGTCTTGAGTTCAAGCCCCAGGTTGGGCTTAGAGCTTACTTAAAAAGGGGGGGGTAGTGCCTGGGTGGCTCAGTCGTTAAACATCTGCCTTCGGCTCGGGTCATGATCCCAGGGTCCTGGGATCGAGCCCCGCATCGGGCTCCCTGCTCAGCGGAGAGCCTCTTCTCTCTGTCCCTCTGCTGCTCCCCCTGCTTGTGCTCTCTCCCTCTCTCTCTCTGTCAAATAAATAAAATCTTAAGAAAAAAAAGAATATTTAGTTTTAGTAGAGATTTTGCTCTTAAAAATGTTAATTGCTGCAGTCTGGATTTTGTCTTAGTCCAGTTAGATTTGTGAAGTAATGTTTTTAATTTCCATTCCAGAAATACATGCTACAGGATTTAACTATCAGAATGAAGATGAAAAAGTCACCCTGTCTTTTCCTAGTACTCTCCAAACAGGTAAGAGTCGTGGCTTTTGTAAAATCCCATGATGAATAGTGACATCTTATTTCTTCCAAAGAAATTTTTTGTATGCCATTTTTTTTCTTGTTTTAAGCAGATTAAATATTAAGACAGAACTTTTGAAAGAGCTTCATTGCAGCTTTTGGGCCACCAGGACAAAAGGAGACCAAAACTAATGATCATTCTACCCTAGAACATAATGCATTGTTTTTCACCTTTTCAGTCTCAGCGTTTTAAAAATACAGTTACCCAGCTCCATCTTCCAGTAATTGAGTCCACATCTTGGAGATGAATATCCCACAGTTGATTTTGATGTATAAAAGTATAGTGTGGGCATGGAAGGAAAGGTTTGTTGATATAATATTATTAGGTAGGGGTGCCTAAGTTGGCTCAGTAATGGTTAAGTGTCCACTCTTGATCTCAACTCAGGTCTTAATCTCAGGGTTGTGAGTTTTCAAGCCCGGCCCTGGGCTCCATGCTGGGTGTGGCACCTACTTAAAAAAATAATAATAATGGGGTACCTGGGTGGCTCAGTCGTTAAGCCTCTGCCTTCGGCTCAGATCATGATCCCAGGGTCCTGGGATCCAGCCCTCCATTGGGCTCCCTGCTCTGCGGGAAGCCTGCTTCTCCCTCTCGCTCCCCCTGCTTGTGTTCCCTCTCTGGCTGTCTCTCTGTCAAATAAATAAAAAAAAAATCTTAAAAAAAAAAAGATGATAATAATCCAGATTGTATCATCAGGTATAAAAGCATAAAGAAAAAAGACTTTCTGAACTTAATGTAGTGTAAGAAATTGTATACAAATCACTTGGTAAAGCACTAAGACTTCGATTAATGATCAATTGAAAAGCAACAAGTGGAGTGCACTTGTCATGATGAGCACCAGGTGATGTACGAAAGTTTTGAATCAATATATTGTACATCTGAAACTAATATAACACTGTTAACTAACTGGAATTAAAATAAAAAGTTAAAAAAAAAGTAACAGGTAATTTGTATGAAAGAAAATGCAATGACTAAAACATGTGAAAAGATATTTGGCTTCCTAGTAATGAGAAATATGAAAACAGCAGTTACTGATATACCAGTTTTTGCCTGTTTTGTGAGCTAAAGTTAAATAAATTCTCAGTGACTACCTTGATATTACTGGTAGGAGTGTAAATCCATGCAGTGTATTTGGAAGGCAGTCTGGCAGTATGTATCAAAAGCCTAAAGATGTTCATGTCTTTTGACCCAGCAATTCTGGTAAGAGCAATATATCCTAAAGAAAAATCATAAATGCAGGGAATGTTTTATGCCTAGAAATGTCTGTTGAGACATTACTTAAGGTAGTAAAAAATTAGAATGAATGTATTACACTAAAGGAGTAATTATGACATCAGTATGGTGGAATATATATAACAATTAAAAGTGAGCTTTATGAATTCTTAACACTCTGAAGTGCTTATTATAATGTAAAATTGAAAAGCAGAATACAAAATTACATAGGGTGATGAATCATCTCTAAAATGATACAAATAAAATGATATATCTGGTTTTTTACATAATTATTCTTATTTATACCTTTTTTTAGTTCCCGTAATTTCTATACTGATAATATATTGCCTTAATATAATAGTATTTTTAGAAAAATTTTAAATTGGAGTTTTATTTTTTATTTCAGTGCTCTTTTATTTTGCCTTCTTCTAACTAGAATGTCTTACATGAAATTATTATAAAAATAAATGTGTTGCCATGAACATGTATTAAAAGATACCAAAGAATATAACATAAAAATTGAGATTTCTGTTTTTCTCACCCCTTCCACTTCCATTGTCTTGTGAATCCTTCCAGAAATATTTTGTGTATCTATAAGTATATGCATACATTTTAATCCACAAATGGGATCACAAATCTCAGTGGGCTTACAACAAATATTTCCTGCTCACACCTGGCCCCGAGGACTCCTGTAGCCATATCTCTGTCTTTGCTTAAGAGCTCTGCTCAGCTCACAACTCTTCTCATTCCAGGACCTGTAGTGGGCCGCTACTGTCAGCAGCATGCTGTTCTCTCCCATGGCAGAGGGCAGAAGCTCGGGGATGGGGGCAGAGACAAACTACAAATATACATTTCAGGTTTCTGCATGGATGGTGGTATACTTGATGTCCATTCACATTTCATTGGCCAAAGGAAATAGCATGGTCAAGCCCAAAGTCACTGGGGCCACAATTACCAAAGATTTGATTAAACTTCTACTCTGAAAGATAGAGTAAAAAGCCAAATAGTAATAGAAATATAGGAACTTGTTAAAAGCAAACACGAATGAAAAGAAAGTCTCAAAAAAAAAAAAACCCACAAAACAAATTAATACCCTTAGAAATACTGTTAATATCACATTCATTAAACAAGAACACGACAGGGGAGCCTAGGTGGCTCAGTTGGTTAAGTGTCCAACTCTTGATTTCTGCTCAGGTCATGATCTCAGGGTCATGAGATGGAGCCCAGCCTGGGCTCCACGCTTAAGATTCTTCCTCGCCCTCTGCCCCTCCCCCTACCGCTTGTACGCGCTCTCTCTCTCTTAAACAAAAACAAGAACAGGACAGAACATTATCAAACAAAGAATTACAGCAAGAAAACTTTTGGAAATTATAATACAATAGAAATAAAAAACTATTCTAATAGGACTTTTGGAAGATGAAATAGAGAAATCTTACACATGGTATGAAAATTTGAGTACCAATCTAGCAGAACCAACATTCATCTAGTAAAAGAGAGGACAGAGAAAATGAGAAGAGAAAATTATTAAAGATACAAAAGAAGAACATTTCTTTGAACGGAGGTGATTGGAACCTTCAATTTGAAAAGGTACACCACTAAAAGAAAGAAAGAAAAGGTAAACCATTAAGAGGGGCTAACTCAATAAATGTAAAAAATCCCATACCAAAGCAAATTTTAGAACTTTGGGGGATAAAAGTGAGGCTCTTGAAAGGCTGGGTGGCTCAGTCAGTTAAGCATCTGACTTTCATGACATTTCAGGTCATGATCTCAGGGTCGTGGGATCGAGCCTGTCGTCGGGCTCCACACTCAGTGTAGAGTCTGCTTGGGATTCACTCTCTCCTTCTCCCTCTGCCCCTACCTCTGTTGGCACTTGGTCTCGAATGAATGAATAAAGTGAGGCTCTCAAAGAGTTTCTTCCCAAGGGCAGGGGGTTGGGAGGAAGGAGGGAAGACTAGCAGATTACCTTCAAAGTTCAGGGATCAAAATAGCAGTAGTGGTAGACTGGGGGTGGGGGATGGGCAAAATGGGTGAAAGTGAGTGGGAGTTATAAGCTTCCAGGTATGGAATGAGTAAATGGGGGATTAGAGGTACAGCATAAGGAACATAGTGGTATTGTAATAGTGTTGTATGGTGACAGGTGGTAGCTACACTTAATGGTGAGCATAGCAAAGAGTATAGAGTTGTCAAATCACCATGTTGTACACCTGAAACTAATGTAACACTGTCTATCAACAATACTTGAATGAATTTTAAAAAAGGAATAGCAGTAGACTAACCATCAGGAACAATGGAAACTAGACTCTAATGAAGCCATTCCTCAAAATTCTGAGTGTATCTGATTTTCAGCCTAGAATTAATTCTATGCTTAGCCAAATTGTGAATTTAAAGAGGGTAAAAAAGGATATTTTCAGATTTGCAAGGTCACAGAAAATTTAATTCTTTTCTGTAAAAGATGTAGGAGTGGGAGATGTAGTTTGGCTAAAACTTCACTTTCTATAGTAAGAAGAAAATAATGTGTAAAATTGAAAAATGAAGAAATAGCTATGTAAGCAAGGTATTTAGAAATCACAGAGTTGCTACTGGGGGCAGTGTAGGGAGTAAGATAGCATTGGGCAGGGACCTGCAGCTTATATATAAGCCTATACTACTTTATGAGTTTTAAAGTAGGAACCATTACTTTGATAGAAATAAGATAAAAAAAATTTTTTAAGATTTTATTTATTTATTTGACAGAGAAAGACACAGCGAGGGAGGGAACATGACCTGAGCCGAAGGCAGACGCTTAACCACTGAGCCACCCAGGCGCCCCAATAAGATAAAATTTTTAAAAAATTTAAAATCTGTGGGGCGCCTGGGTGGCTCAGTCGTTAAGCGTCTGCCTTTGGCTCATAACCCTTCGGCTCAAGTCAGGATCCCGGGGTCCTGGGATGGAGCTCCGCATTGGGCTCCCTGCTCCGCGGGAAGCCTGCTTCTCCCTCCCCCGCTCCCCCTGCTTGTGTTCCCTCTCACTGTCTCTGTCAAATAAATAAATAAAATCTAAAAAAAAAAAAATTTAAAATCTGTATCATTACAGGCTACATTCTATGATCACACTGTGAGATTAAAATCAGTTGCAAAAGAGAAAAAAAAATCCCTTCTCATATATTTGGAAAAATTGTACCTCTGAAAATTAATATCAAAGAAGATTTGTTATGGAAATTAGAAAATATTTAGAACTGAATAATGAAGTTACATAATATGTAGGATGCAAGTAAAACATTACCCAGCATATTTAGTTAAGACTGAAAATTAATCAGCTAAGTATCAAGATCAAAGTTAGATAAGAATGGGTAACTTTAAAAAAGAAGAGAGAAAGATTTAAGAGCAGAAATTAAAAAATGGAGAGGAGCAAAAATATTTTAAGATTTTATTTATTTATTTGTCAGAGAGAGAACACAAGCAGGGGGAGAAGCAGGCTCCCCGCTGAGCAAGGAGTCCAATGCGCGACTCCCATCCCAGGACCCTGGGATCATGACCTGAGCTGAAGGCAGACACTTAACCGACTGAGTCACCCAAGCGTCCCAGGAGCAAAGATATTTTAAAACAAGTTTTTAAAATCATTCCAGAAGATAGATAAATCTGGCACGCACGTGTGTGTGTGTGTGTGTGTGTAAAGATAGCAGATTCAGTTGTTCAGCATTAGGAAATAGGACATTATTAAGTCAAAAATTTCAAGATACTAGATTTATCAAAAGAAGCTAGAATGTATTTGCCAGAATTGAGCAGGTAAGAATAGGCAGAAACTCCTAGAAGGAGCGTGTGTGTTATATGTATACATACAGGTATAATACATGCATGTTTCTATTGAATGCTTAATCTGTGCCAGGTACCATTTTATGTGCATCATAAATACTAATTTATTTAATTCTTTTTGAGATAGTTTCTGTTACCTGCACTTTATATATAAACTAAGGCACAAAGATGGTTTAATTAAATAACTTGCCCAATGTTAATAGGTGTTAGGTGGCAGAGCCTGGATTTCAAACGCATGCAGTTTAATCCAAAATTCTATACTTCTAACCACCATATTGTGCTTTTTATTTTTTAATTAAATATTATAAAAATATAATACATGGTTTAAAATTCAAATGATATATAGTGGAAATATGTTTGCCATCCTAGCCCTTTCTTCTTCTCTCAGCTCTTCTCAGAAGCAACCAGTTTCCTATGTATCCTTTTAAAACCATTCAGTGGTTTTGTAAGCATTTCTGCATATACTGTTTAAGAACACAGAAACTAACATGCTATATCATATTCTGCATGCTTCTTTTCCCTTACGTGTCTGTGTGTGTGTATGTATGTGTGTGTGTGTCTGTGTAAATAAAAGAGGTCGGGGGCACCTGAGTGGCTCAGTTGGTTGAGCTTCTGACTCTTGGTTTTGGCTCAGGTCATGATCTCAGGGTTGTGGGATTGAGCCCCATCTTGGGCTCCGTGCTCAGTGGGGAGTCTGCTTGGGATTCTATCCCTGTGTCCCTCCCCCCATTCTCTCTCAATCTCTCTAAAATAAATAAATAAATCTTTTTAAAAAATGGGTCAGTTATCAGTATATAAGAGCTTTGTCATTCTTGATGAGAACTATTTACAGCAGACATGGTAAATTGTGAAGTCATTTCTAAGGTCAGAGAAGGTTATGACCTTTTGTATACTATAATTTGACAGAGTTTGGGAGATTTTTAGTTAATACAGCAGTATAAATAAGTAATTGATATAAATATTAGAATTAGAAATTATCTTATTTGAGGGGCACCTGGGTGGCTCAGTCTGTTGGGCTCTTGATTTCCGCTCAGGTAATGATCTTGGGGTCATGAAATGGAGCCCTCAGTTGGGCTCCATGCTCAGTATGGAGTCTTTTTGTCCCTCTCCCTCTGCTCCTCCCCTTTCTTGTGCTCACCTGCTCACTTGCTCTCTCTCAAATAAATAAAATCTTTTTTAAAAAAAGAAATTATCCTATTTGAGATGAGACTAATATTGATTATTGAGCATCTGTAAATATCTGTTTGAAAATCATTGGCCTTCACATTTTCCTAAGATTCTCTGGAACACAATTACCCATTCTTTGCTTTAAAAATGACATCCTTATTTTTTAAAGTTTTAGTAGGCTCTACAAGCATTCTATCTTCTGGTAAGGGAATAGGGAGCATATATTGAAAGGACATTAGTAACCTTTGTGTTTAGCCTCACCAGTCTTAACAGTCATGCCAACTATTTCATAGCTAAGCAACACATTTTCTTTTCCAAAGCTGGCACATTCTAGAGTAATGGTTAAATTACCATGATCATTGTAAGCCGACAACAATTTCAGAATCATTTGTTAAGGATCCTACGGAGTGGTGTTTATTTAGAGAAACACTAGGTGATATTGACATTTCTAAGAGTGAAAAACAGGGTCACAGGAAATGGTGACACAAAGGCAGAAACCTTTACTCCCTTTTTATACAAATTAATCTGTCTTTAAGTTTTTGGCATTTAGTAGGCTCATTAAATTTTTATTGAAGTATTTCAAGATCTACTTCAGGTTTTACAGCAATTATACTCTCCTAAGCTTTAAAGAAATAAGATGTTTTTTGTTTGCTTTAAAGATTTTATTTATTTATTTGACAGAGAGAGAGATCACAAGTAGGCAGACAGGCAGGTAGAGGGAGAGGGAGAAGCAGGCTCCCTGCTCAGCTGGATGCGGGGCTCGATCCCAGGACCCTGGGATCATAACGTAAGCCGAAGGCAGACGCTTAACCGACTGAGCCACCCAGGCACCCCAAGAAATAAGGTTTTTGGTAGAAGTTGCAATTTTCCGGTTGTTTAATTTATAAATGGGCTTATTGTATGTTTTAAAAGGTTTATCATCCCAAGCAGATAAATATTGCATACAATGGATATTGAAATAAGGTGTTTATTGTGAGGAAGCAATGTAAATTATGTGGGCAAACAGGTATAAAATTAGACAATCTGGCAATCAGTTCTTCAGTATGGTGTAAATTTGATAAGTTGACATTTATTAAGTCTTTTTTCTCCTGTTTTTGCCCTATAATTCTATATTAATAGTAAATATTTTGTAATTCGTATTGTATACTATAACACTAGTTAAATTTATTAGTGATTTTTTAAAAACTTTAACTTGTGTTTTGTTTGAATTTCAGGTAATAACCTTTTCCAATACTTTGTATTTTGTTTAGTATGCCACTTTTTTGGAAGTGGCCACTATCAGTATCTTGTTATGGTTTGATGGCCTTGGAGATTTAAAACCGAGTAAAAGTGTAAGCAGCCTTTCTTACTTAGTTATGAGTTTTAAATCATTTTATTCCAAATAGGAAAAGGCAAAAGTAGATTTCCCATGGAATATGAGTTATATAAAAGAAATCTTAACATGTTAGTTGACTAGTGAAAACAGACTGGCCAGTTCCATTTATGGAATTGCAACATAAAATTCCATCAAACAGTAGTGGGTTTTTGCAATCTACTAGATAAGTCCTTGTAAACTTTATTAATGTGAATATATCTGCTTTTTTAAAGATTAGTGAATTCCTAAAGAAAATAGGGAGAAATTGTATATTATAGTTAAATTCTTTAGTATCAATCATTTAGAATTCTTTCACATTCTTTTATTGTATTCTTATTTACTGTTCCAGTAATCTATCATTCTCTTTAAGAAAGTATTCATTGTCCCCTTCAGACAGAATGTCTGATTTTTAAAAAATAAGATTCACAAACATTTATTCAAATGAGCTTCAATTCCCCCCCTCCCCCGCCCCAGCATGATTACATTAAGAATATGGCACTTTTGGGTGTCTGGCTGGCTCAGTCAGTAGAGCATGGGACTCTTGATAGGGTTGTGAGTTCGGGCCCTACATTGGGCACATTAAAAAAAAAAAGTGGCACTTTGTTTAGTGATGATGACTTCGCTGCAGAGGTCTGAAATTTTCTCTTGAAATTACTTTCAGAATGAGTTTGAAGCACATATGAAAATCAATTTAATTATGTAATTGACATACTTAATAGACAACAGCGTTTTGTCTAGAAACAATATGCAGTTTGTCATTCACTTTTTCTGTAGATTTGGACTCTAAATGACTTTTGGACCTTTTCAAAAAGGTCAATTCAATTTTGGAAGGTGAAGATCTGACTGAGAGCATCCAAAAGGATATGTCAAAAAGAGAGAGAGTTAAGAACATTTTGAACAATGTCACTGTCATTGCTCTATGGCATTCCAAAATGACAGTTTAAAACATTAGGATATAAAGTTTTGGAATGATTGCCTAATTATTTTATAGTCATACTATGTCTTTGATTTGTTAGATTCCCAAGTTCCTGATCCTGTTATAAATAGGCACTTTAAAAGGATCAATTAAAAGTCAACATTTTTCTGGTTGGTTTTTTGGGGGGATTTAATTTGTAAAATGTAGAATGGGATTATTGTTTTGTCATGCATGTGAATTTAGTAGATGACTAATAGATATTAATTATAATCTTTTTTCTGTTATGAAAGAAGGTATATATACTCACAAAACTCCCATTTTGTCTAATTTGGTTTTGCCCCCACACAACAATAGAATATATATTCATATTGCGTTTTTATTTGCATTTAGTAATTATTGAGTAAATGTATTTCTTTAATATTATCATTTCAAATGATTGAGTTGACTGTAAGAGTTTTTAATGCCCTTTTGCCAGCCAAATCATTGATCTTCCCTATATAGTTCCTTTCAAAAGTATGGAATCAGTGTTCCGTTTGGATTGAACAGACAGGGTTTTGTCTTGATAGAGTAATTGGCATGAAGTTCTCTAAATTGACCAATTTATATGGCATCATTGGCAGAGAACATGAATTTTGGATTAAACAGGCCTAAATTTTTTATCTCATTCTTGCTACTTACTAATCGTGTGCCCTCAAGCAAGTTATTTAACTTTTCAGCCTCAGTTTTCTCATCTGAAAAAATGGAGACTATACCTACTTCCAAGTTTCTAAATATTTTTAAAGCACCATGCACAGTAGCATGTCATACGTTTAATAATAAATGTTGATTTCCTTTCCTGTTTTTATCTTTATGTATTGGTGATTAGAGATTAAGTTAATGAAGTTAAAAAACTTTCTAAACAGTCATCCTAAACGTGATGTTAAGGTTTACTTTAGGATTAGTTTGCCATTTATTTTAGTAAATACTATATTCTCTCCATTGCCCAGGAGAAGTGTTTGAGAAAGGAACGAATGATTTGAACATTATAGTCAACTAAGTTAGTGTCTTAAGGACATATTTTTGATAACTTGTACTTAATATCTATATTAAAGTGGTTTTCATTCATCTTCAATCACAGGTACAGGAACCTTAAAGATAGATTTTGTTGGAGAGCTGAATGACAAAATGAAAGGTTTCTACAGAAGTAAATATACTACCCCTTCTGGAGAGGTGCGCTATGCTGCTGTCACACAGTTTGAGGTATGGTATTCTTCTCTAAAATGTTATGATCTTAAAGTCGATATTCTGACAAAGTTCTGTTCCATTATTTGCACGATTATTTCAGGCTAGGTGCCTTTGGCCATAATTATGTTCATGATTTTGGAATTTTTATTTTATATTGAGCCAGTTATCTCCATTATAGAGGGAGAGAACTAGAGATGGGGGCTGGAAAATGGGGACACACACACACACACACACACACACACACACACACACACACACACACCAGCATTACTAAAGCCAAAGACAATTTTAATTAAAAAAGGTACATAGTATAAAAGCAATTCAGGTATTGAAATTCTGTTACATATGTTTGTATAAATGTGTATGTATATATGTAACAAAATATATATGTAACAAAATAACATATGCACGTATGTGTATATACATATACATCTGCATACATGCATATATGTACAAAATTTCAATACCTGAATTGCTTTTATACTATGTACCTTTCTTTTTGTTTTTTATTTATTTATTTATTTTTTATTTTTTTATTTTTTAAAAAATTTATTTATTTAACAGACAGAGAGACAGCGAGAGAGGGAACACAAGCAGGGGGAGTGGGGGAGGGAGAAGCAGGCTTCCCGCGGAGCAGGGAGCCCGATGTGGGGCTCGATCCCAGGACCCCGGGATCATGACCTGAGCTGAAGGCAGACGCTTAACGCCTGAGCCACCCAGGCGCCCCTCTTTTTGTTTTTTAATTAAAGATTTTTATTTGACAGAGAGAGACACAGTGAGAGAGAGAACACAAGCAAGTGCCCCACTATGTACCTTTCATAATTAAAATTATACTCTTAGTATTTGACACCTGTGGCTTTTCCTACCAAACTAATAGTAATGTTGTTGTATAGCATGCCTTTTCTTCTTTGACATGTCCTTGCTATATGTTTACCTTACTACATTATCTGTTCTGTCTTTGATTTTTATTTATCAAGTATATGCGAGTTACATAGCTTGTTTTGAATTTGCTAGTGGTACTTTTTAAGTATTAAGTCTAATTAAATTTATTCCTGTACATATCAATATGGATAATGAAACAATTGATCCTATCTATTTTTATGTTTCTGCCTATATCTCTGTATTGTTTGTTTTGCATCCCTAAAGTTTCGGATTGGGGCACCTGGGTGGCTCAGTTGGTTAAGTGTCTGCTTTTGGCTCAGGTCATGATCCTGGGGTCAGGGAGCTCCCTTCTCCCTCTGCCGGCAGCTCCCCCTGCTTGTGCTCTCTCTCTCACTATTTCTATCTCTCTCTCTCAAATAAGTAAATAAAATCTTTTAAAAAAATAAAGTTTTGGATCTAGTTCACTACTAATTTGTCTAACCTGGTGTATCTTCTCTTTCAAGAATTTTATGTTGCCGTCTGTTTTAAAACAACATTTGCAGGGGCACCTGGGTGGCTCAGTCAGTTTGACATCCAACTCTTGATTTCGGCTCAGGTCATAATCTCGGGGTTGTGGGATCGAGCCCTGCATCAGGCTCCATGCTGAGCGTGGAATCTGCTTGTTCCTCCCCCTCTGCTCCTCCCCTTGCTTTCTCTCTCTCAAACAAATGAATAAAATCTTTAAAAAAATTTGCCATAGCTATTTTGGCCTAATTCTGTGTTTCCGTTATTTCAGTGCTTATCTTTAGCCTTTTGAGCACTTCTGCATCCTGGAATGGTTGCCTGGAGTATGTCTCCAAATAAAAAAATTTTTTTAAAGATTTTATTTATTTATTTTGACAGAGAGAGACAGCGAGACAGGGAACACAAGCAGGGGGAGTGGGAGAGGGAGAAGCAGGCTTCCCACTGAGCAGGGAGCCCGATGTGGGACTCGATCCCAGGACCCTGGGATCACAACCTGAGCCAAAGGCAGCCACTTAACAACTGAGCCACCCAGACGCCCCCAAATAAAATTTTTTTAAGGGAGGGTATGTGGGAAGTATACTTCCAGAGTCTCTGCACAACTGAAAGGCTTTCATTTGCCTTATTACGTGACCAGTTTTACTGGGTGTATAATAGATTTGTTGGGGAAAAAAGAAAAAGAAGAAGGAGCAGCAGCCCCTGACATTCAGAAGTTGCACCAGCACTCCCAGCTAGTCCATGCTGTTCTTTTTGATGTAAACAGCATCATAGAGCACCAACCTCAGACAAGGTTACTCTGAGACCATGATAAAGTGAAACAAAACAAGGATGCTTCATAATTTCATCTAAGGACCCACAAAAGCAAGGTCACTGTGCTACCCATGAAATAAGGAACACCTCCCTCTCTTAGTTAAAATGAACGACATCTTTATCAATTATGGTTTTAGTCTTGCTCTAGTCTGCCCTCTCTACAGGTAAGATTTGTTGAGATGCGCACCCACAGAATTGCCTCCACTTTTTGACCCCACCCAATTTAGAGTGAATCTAAATCCTCCCCCCAGTTCACCCTGCCAAATCCAGAATGTACATATAATAGCTTCTTTCTGACACACCCCAGGGTTCCCCTTACTGTGAGTTTTCCCTTGCTACAATGAATAACAAACCCAACTTTTCAACTATAAGAGTAATATATACAGTTGGCTTACAATTTTTCTCTTTCAAAGGTATATAAATGTTGTTACACAGTCTTTCATATCTCATTTTGTCAAGGGGAAGAATCAGACTGGAATATTTTTTTTTCCCTTGTAGAGTAACATATTGTTTTGTTTTGCTTTGTTTTCTTCTTGATTCCTTGTTAAATTATTTCTTTGTACTTAAAAATTTTTACCAGGTGTTCACTTTTCATTAACTTTTACATAGTAATTGGTGAACCCTATTGATGTTCAGATTCAGATCTTCAGTGTAGCCAAGTTTTCTATTACATACTACATTTTCATTGTGGTTTGTGCTCTGCTTTCTCATAATAGGTTTATGTCTAATCTCTGTCCCTCAGATGAAGTTTTGGTGGCTTTCATCACTCTGTCCTTTTGATATTTTAGAAACTTTTTTTTTTTAAGGTTTTATTTATTTATTAGAGAGAGAGGGAGACCACAAGCAGGGGGAGTGGCAGGCAGAGGCAGAAGGAGAAGCAGACTCTCCACAGAGCAGGGAGAGCCCGATGTGGGACTCGATCCCAGGACCCCGGGATCACGACCTGAGCTGAAGGCAGTCGCTTAACCAACTAAGCCACCCAGGCGCCCTAGAAACTTTTTTTAAGAAACTTTTAAACCTTGGGGCGCCTGGGTGGCTCAGTTGGTTAGGTGACTGCCTTCGGCTCAGGTCACGATCCCGGAGTCCTGGGATCAAGCCCCGCATCGGGCTTCCTGCTCGGCGGGAAGCCTGCTTCTCCCTCTCCCACTCCCCCTGCTTGTGTTCCCTCTCTCGCTGTCTCTCTCTCTCTGTCAATTAAATAAATAAAATCTTAAAAAAAAAAAAAGAAAGAAACTTTTAAACCTTGTTATCCATGTTACTCATTTAATTTCCTCTAGTATAAATTCATTTCTCTACCGCTGCTGCTCCTAATTTCAATTTTTCTGTGCTATCTTTTCTTTCCTTATACTGTACTTACTTTTCAGATGTCTTATTTATTCTTTGAATGAATTCATCATTTATTTAACTTCTTTGAGAGTGCACTTAGCCATCTGACATTTTCCTTGGAGAAACTTTTTTCCAGAAGTATGTGCTTCCTCTACCTCTCTATAATTTATTCCTTCTTTTCATGATATAGAATCTTGTAATTGGTTCTATTTTTTTTTACTTCATTCTGTTTTATTAAAGTTTCTTTTATAACTGGTATTCTACTGAACTGCTAAACTTTATTTTGCTTTAACAAGTTTGCTCTTTCTTAAAAAACAGACAAGTTTACTCTTTATTTTTAAAGAAAAAATTGAGGTCTTGTTAAGTAAGTCAAGTGGTGACAGTTTTATGTGTAGTATATGGAAATGCCATTAATTGGATGACCTGGGACGCCTGGGTGGCTCAGTCAATTAGGCATCTGCCTTCAGCTCAGATCATGATCCCAGGGTCCTGGGATTGAGCCTCGCATCCGGCTCCCTGCCCAGTGGAGACACTGCTTCTCCCTCTCCCTCTGCTCCTCCTGCTCGTGCTCACTCTCTCTCTCTAATAAATAAAAATCTTTAAAAATATATGTATCATTCAAAATTATTTTAATACTGTATATCGTTAGGATCTATAGCAGACCTAATTCCTGGATTATTGCTTGTTTTTGTTTGTTTTTGCTTTGTTGATGTGGCAGGGATAATAAGCCCCATGTTTTCTCTGTAGTCACTCCCTAGTGTGTTGCCTGGCATGGAGTAGAAAGTAAATATTTAAACAAGTGAAGGAATGGATGATAGAAGATGATGAAGGTTACTTCATGAAATAGGTTAATTCAGTAATATTTATATTTCATATTCTTTTTTTAAGGCTACTGATGCCCGGAGGGCTTTTCCTTGCTGGGATGAGCCTGCCATCAAAGCAACTTTTGATATCTCATTGGTCGTTCCTAAAGACAGAGTAGCTTTATCAAACATGGTATGTATGTGTTTGTAAGTATATTTAAAATTTGAATAAGCGTTTATAATATTTAGTTTTCTGGTTAGATGCAATAGCATGAAACCACTTAGCACAGTGCTTGATACATAACAGGAGCACAGATGTTCATTTTCTTTATTTCCAGTAAGCCCTCTTTTTTTTTAATTTCCTTATTTGGAGTTTCCTTCCTCATGGAAGAAATTTCTTATAAACTTTAATTTGGAAAACTGAAAAAATGATGAGTTTAATAAATATTGCCTGGGGAAAAAAAATCTGACTTTCTTATTAAATGCCAAAAGATATAGCCATGTAATGAAGTGTATTTAGGTTTCTGGTTGATTGTATTCTTAGAATATGCTCTCTTGCACTGATGTCATTATCTCTTTCATAAATAGAGTAAACATTTACCACTTGAAATATATTGTTTAAGACAGAAGTACCCGATAGCCCATAATATGAATCTGAGGAACTTGGAAAAGCCTACTGTACCTGCAAATAACTGGCTTTTGCCTCCTTTATGGTGCAGAGAATGCCATTCTCTTCTCAAATATTCCTAAAAAGGAGGCTAATATATTAAACCGAAATATTATTTTACAGTTTAGTATGAATGAATTTATCAGGTCTGTTCTTGAATAAGTCTTCCTTGGAAGAAAGAATAGATCTTGAGAAAGTAGAGCTGAATAGGAAAAAAAGGAGGGGGGGGTAACAACAAAGAGAAATTAGGAACTCTCTAGGTAAAGTGGAAATTCCTCCACGAATTTGCTTAGAGCCAGCCTTGGTATGGAGAATGCTCTAAATTTAGATATCCGTACCCTTTGAAATGCAGATTTCACAGTTACCCTTCATTAATAATTATTGCTTTCTATCCTTATTTCACTTGAAAAGTATTGAGGTCTTACTTAAAACATCCCAGTGCCTGGCATATAATAGGTATTCAAGAAAAGTTGCTTCTTTTCTTTCATAGATCCTTGGTAGTTTTAACTCTTTAGCCCCCAACTTCTTAGTGTTTCCTTCTTAATAGGAAAGATTTTGACATCATAAAAGCAGTGGATGAATTGGGATAGATAAGTAAGCAGTGCTGGAAGGGGGAAGGAGAAGCAGCAGTTTTTGGCTAGTATTTGCTTTAAGGTATTTAATGTAAATCTGTTTAAATTCTCTCTCTCTCTTTTTTTTTAAAGAATGTAATTGATCGGAAACCATACCCTGATGATGAAAATGTAGTGGAAGTGAAGTTTGCCCGCACACCTGTCATGTCTACATATCTGGTGGCATTTGTTGTGGGTGAATATGACTTTGTAGAAACAAGGTCAAAAGATGGTGTGTGTGTCCGTGTTTACACCCCTGTTGGCAAAGCAGAGCAAGGAAAATTTGCGTTAGAGGTAAATGTACTTGAAGAGGATTGTTCCAACAGTCCATAACTCCAGGTTGGGGAATTTACATTTCTGATCAATTATTAGTACAATTATTTATAATTTAGTCTGAAATTTGTGTACTTTGGTTTTATTTTTAATAGAATTTTGAAACTACCAACCTTGGTGTTACATTAGCATTTTACAAGACAATGATTAAGAGAATATTAGAGTGGAATTTATTTATCCACAGAATGGGTGGGAAAAGATGTAATATATTTTTCATACCAGTATATTATAGATGGATTAAAGTTTGGCCAACATTAACAAAAGCCAAAGACTTTTGGAGGTAGGGTTCCCTGGGGTTGGTTTCTAGTAACTTGAGATGCTTTGGCTTGCAACAGGATTCCTTTGTGGATTTCTGTATGAATTACAATAAAATATTTATCAGATGGTTCTTTTGTTTATACTTTTGTAGGTTGCTGCTAAAACCCTGCCTTTTTATAAGGACTACTTCAATGTTCCTTATCCTCTACCTAAAATTGATCTCATTGCTATTGCAGACTTTGCAGCTGGTAAAGTAAATTTCATTTTATTGCTGAATTGTAATAACTTTTTTGAATTTTGTGATTTTGAGGAAGAAGTATGTACATATATCAATGAATGTTTATGTTTATTTTATGAAGGTGCCATGGAGAACTGGGGCCTTGTTACTTATAGGTATGTTAATGATACATTACCCTGCCTTATCTTTTCAATCACTGATTTCATAAGAGCTTCACTCCTAATCACAGTTGAGTAGCTTCTGCTTTATGATCTGTAAATTTTCCTACCTCCCCCACTTCTGTGCACATTTTAAGAATGCAGATGAACACCCTCTGGTGCTACTATCTGAGATTGTAAGATTTTAAAGTGAGCATCTGGCATTAGTAACATTTTTAGATCTATTTTTGGCTGAGTTTCTCATTTTGGTGCCTTCTCTTCCTCCCAGGAGTTTCATAGTTATTTTTCCAGCTTGAAGAATCATCTCTGCTTTAATGTTTTCTAGCCAAGTTTTTACATATCTGTCACCACAATACAAACATGTGGGTTGTATAATTTTTAAAGCAGGGTCTGTAAACAAGTTTTTGCCCCTCCTTCTTTGATGAGTTAAGTTTTGGACAGCCTGCTCAGTGTTCTTTTTGGGACTGTGGAATGCATGTTCCCCCCACTTACCACTCCCCTTCTTTTAATGGGAGGACTGTTTACTCTGTCTAGCACAATAATCCTTAATCCCTTAGACAAAGTTTTTTAAAACTTTGGGCAGCTGTCCTATTTACAAACTGATGATTAAACTTGTGTCACACCTTTGATCTTCTGTTTTATGAATTCTGTTGGAATAGTCTTTAATCTACCCAGAACTTTTTCTGTTCTGTACCTCTGAGGAAATGTTTTCTTGACATCTCTAAAGCCTAACTTGACCATCTTATTTACCGTTTGAATCTCCCTCCCCCATTTGTGCATGCCTTTTATTGCAATACTTACATTGTTTAAAAAAAGGTTTTTTTTTAAACACAGGGAGACTGCATTGCTTATTGATCCAAAAAACTCCTGTTCTTCATCACGCCAGTGGGTTGCTCTGGTTGTGGGACATGAACTCGCCCATCAATGGTTTGGAAATCTTGTTACTATGGTATTTAATATTTTTAAGTGCTCAAATATATTTATCTTCATCCTGCTGCACATTATTTTGGCTACATAGTATTTCAGGTTTGACTGGAACATAGTACTAAAAAATAAATGAATGATAGAAAATTTTTATTTTAGAACATCCACGTTGAACAGTGTTTATCAGAATCTCTGTGTCAATCAAGAGTATGTGGATAGAGTTGATTCAACACAAAATACTTCCTAAACTGTTGTAGAATTTGCCTGCAAATGGCAAAGTCATAATACTAATTTGGGTGAGAGAAAGAAATTCCTCTTAGGTACAGAGGTTCCAGGCTAACTATAGTTTCTTGAGCATATTTATTATGTAGTTCAGTAGCTGAAAAGTAACCTGATAAATAACAACATGATCAATTAGGTTGAAATGTTTTTAGGAGTCAGTTTTCTCATTGCCTAAAATGTTAAGTTGAAATTTGATAGAAATGAAACTAGGGAATAACTGTATATTAAAATTTCCAGCTGTCCCATTGAAATTATTGTTTATTATGTTTGCAGTAAATTTTGCAGCATTTGCAGTGAATGATCTCTGTTCTTAAGTCTTGACCTTTCCCTCTTACTCCAAATAAGTACTGTCTATGTCGGCTAGCTGTGTTAGAGCTTGGGAGCACAGAGTTTAATGAGTGAACTAGAAGTACCTCTGCAAAGAAAGAACTGGAGATTCTGGAGCCAGCCAAATTCCCTGATAGCATTTTAGGCTGCCAAAGAGCAGAACCTGACTTGGATGTTAGTTCAGTCCATATGTCATAGGAATAAGCGAGAAAGTAAGACATTTAGCAACTATTACATGTCTGAGACAGCTTTTAAAGAAAGCCAGCCCTTGCAATTAGACCATTTCCTTTTGCTTTCGGTGTTTAAAATTTTACTTAGGGGTGAAAAAAAGTTTTGAAATATAATTTCATGTGGAATTAAGTATGCTGGTACCTGTGTTCAAGTATGTACAGAAATATTTTCTTCTAATGTAGCAAGTTTGTTGCTACCAAACAATTTTTTGTTAGCTTTGAGCAGTCTTCATTTTTATGATTTTATTTTTAAACTACCAGCAGTAAATTTTAGTAGGGGAAATGTGCACATTCTCATATAGCTTTTTTTTTTTTAAAGATTTTATTTATTTATTTGAGAGACAGAGAATGAGAGATAGAGAGCACGAGAGGGAAGAGGGTCAGAGAGAGAAGCAGACTCCCTGCTGAGCAGGGAGCCTGATGCGGGACTCGATCCTGGGACTCCAGGATCATGACCTGAGCCGAAGGCAGTCGCTTAACCAACTGAGCCACCCAGGCGCCCTCTCATATAGCTTTTAAACAACTTTTTACTGGATTTGAGTAACTGTCCTAGTTATTAGATGTCAGTTGTTTCTTTAACTGAAATTTAAGGGCTCATGATAGGTTGGTGAATAACTAGCTCTCTACCAGCTTATCTTTGTGGAAGCTACTAGTTTAGTAAGTGCACAAAGCACTTAGATAGCCTTTCATCACTTAATATTGAAAATATTTTATCTTTTCAGAATTTTAAATGCCTTTTTGCTTTTCACCATTGCATTAGTCCTTTAGCATTTATCTTGGATTCTTATATTGCTTTCTTTTTGTAAGAGATTTAACCAACTTTAATGAAACTTAAGATTAAAATCTCTTTCTAAAAAATTGACTTTTTTTAAAGTTGGTTTTATCTGTGACTCATTTGTATTCTTTGTCCATTCTACTGTTAATTCTTATTAGCAGGTGAGAATTTTATATTCCATAAGTACTGAAACACCATTCATTACTGAACTACTTACTGCCATGATACTTCTGTTAATTTTACCTAATCTTTATATGAGCAGTACTGATTTTCTGTTTATCTAGAAAGTTTAACTCGTCAGTCAGTCATTATGGAAATCCTTCCCAGTTTTCCTTATTTGGTCCTGGTAGCTTTCTGGTTTATTAAACTAAATTTTACCTGACAATATAGGCTCTTGCCTACATTTATCTGCCCTCTTCCCCTTTTCCATATGAGGGCTTTCTCCCCTCCCTCCCTCCCTTTTTCCTTCCATTTTTTTCTAGCTTTGGTAATAAAAAGTTACTTAGCTATGTTTTGAAATGTCCCTCAGGCCTAATGCCAAAATCACCAGTTGGCCTTTTTTACCATCTCTTTTAAGCATCTTTTTGTTTAGAGACGTGAGTTATTTACTGAATGTTTTTCACTGAATTTTGGCTTATTATAAGTTGTGGAGTATAGTGGAAGGGACATGTGAGTTTTTCAAATTAGTGGAATGATAAATATTTTGTTTTCTTTACACATTTCCTTCTTTTGTTTTTAGGAGTGGTGGACTCATCTTTGGTTAAATGAAGGCTTTGCATCATGGATTGAATATTTGTGTGTAGACCACTGCTTCCCAGAGTATGATATCTGGACTCAGTTTGTATCTGCTGATTACACTCGTGCCCAGGAACTTGATGCTTTAGATAACAGCCATCCTATTGAAGTGAGCCATACTTTTCAACCATTGGCCTTTGCTCTCATTTCTAATGAAATAAGTAATTTGTTATAGAGATACTTAGGAGCCTGAAAAGAAAAGAAAATTGCACGGACAATTCACTTGTTTCTATAGCTCATATTTTCAGTCTTGAAAATCTCACAAGACTAAGTACTAATTATGTTTCTTTTTAAGGTAGACAGTATAAGAATTTTATCTTTGTAGAGGCAAGTGCTATATATCCATAAGCATTCACCAAATACATTTTTATTGACTAGTATGGGAGAACCATGCCTGTTGGGCAGTATGCGCAAGGGAACATTATGATTCCGTTGTTTCAAAGAAAGTTCTGAACATACTCTTTTATTATTGTCATTGTCTAAAATATATATAAAATTTTATTTCTCTTGACTTAGCCTGTCCTTATTTTGGCTAGTTTATATGAATAGATTTTGCCTCCAAAGAACTTATAGTCTACTTTGACATATTTAACCAAAGACCTATGTAATTATAAGCCGTTACAGTTAGTTGCAAGTGATCAAATTGTTTCTCATCTCTCCCTTCCTCCCTCTCCCAATTCCCCAATAAAATGATCCATGGTGATTTGCCTCCCAGCAAAGCTGAGCCAAGACCCACAGAGATGGTGGGGATCATGTTATATGCTCCACTTTATTAGTGTTAAGTTACTACAATCTTTTTAAGGATCATCAATATGCATTTATGAGTGAACTAAAGGCAGAAAAGTATCTTATGAGTTAGGAGGGTTTTCCTAGAAAGCTTTTTATGTAATTTAGTATTACAGGCTGTCTGCTTCCTGTCATAACCCTGAATCACACTGTCTGCCAGGTCAGTGTGGGCCATCCTGCTGAAGTTGATGAGATATTTGATGCTATATCATATAGCAAAGGTGCATCTGTCATCCGAATGCTCCATGACTACATTGGGGATAAGGTAAAAAAGCAATTAAAAAGAAAAATCTTCCATCCTTTTATGGTGAAATCATAGTGTTTTGCATGGGAAAAAAGTGTCTACTTTTATTTAGATTAAGTTCCTAAGTAATTTTTCTAGACTCTAGAAGGATATTACTCTGATCTGGCTTATCTTCTTTTCTTTTTACATTGACTCTTGTGGTCTCTTAGATGAATGATGTGTAAATGTGTTTGGGGGATGTGTGGGAGGCTGGTATAAAACTTAAAAGCAAATGTAGAAGGCAAAGAGTATGCATTCTTAAATAAAAGACAGTAGACATTAGAGGGATAGATGTTTTTCAGTAAGTCCGACACTCAGCTAATTTGAGTAAATAAGCTTTTGAGTACTAATATGCAAATACATTATAAATTCCAAGGTCTTAATCTCCTGGATTTTAAAAATTGTGTTTTCTCAGGACTTTAAGAAAGGAATGAACATGTATTTAACCAAGTTCCAACAAAAGAATGCTGCCACAGGTAATCTTAATAGCTTGAGATAGCAGTGAAGAGAAGGTGTTGGCACTCTATCCAGAGCGGGACATTTACTTTTTTCCAAATGCTTAACCTTCCATGTGATAGATAGGAAATAAAGTTGACCTGTTTGGTGCCATGTGTTAAGTCATAGATCCACCTGAATCAGAACCCGTTACCCTTCTTGTCCCCTCCAGAACTCTGCCCTCCGTAGCTCAGTGTCCTGCCACCCCAGAGTCTGAAGAGTTTGGTTTACCTTACCAGAACTTGGTCTTTTTGGTGACTCATTGGTTTTATTGCCCTAAATTGACCATTGGCCATTAAAATTGCTACAAATTAACCATCTTTTAGTGAACTTGTGGAACTAGTTCAGTGAGTTTCAGTGAAGATTTAAGAGTTTTTAGTGGTTTAAGAGTGTATAGTGGTCTATGATTTATTGTGTATGGGAGTCAAAAGAAAGAATAAAGGTAGGAGTTGATTGAAGATGAAAAAGATGGGCGCCTGGGTGGCTCAGATGGTTAAGCGTCTGCCTTCGGCTCAGGTCATGATCCCAGGGTCCTGGGATCAAGTCCCGCATCGGGCTCCCTGCTCAGTGGGGAAGCCTGCTTCTCCCTCTGCTTCTCTCTCTCTCTCTGTCTCTCATGAATAAATAAATAAAAATCTTAAAAAAAAAAAAAAAACATTGTGAAGATGAAAAAGAGCCGGAGTTGGAGTTTTGAGTTCTTCAGTGAACAAAAATAGTTTAAAAGCAAGATTTGTGGGGGCACCTGGGTGGCTCAGTTGGTTGGGCATCTACCTCCGGCTCAGGTCATGGTCCCGGGGTCCTGGGATCGAGCCCCGCATCAGGCTCCCTGCTCAGCAAGAAGCCTGCTTCTCCCTCTCCCACTCCCCCTGCTTGTGTTCCCTCTCTCGCTGTGTCTCTGTCAAATAAATAGATAAAATCTTTAAAAAAAAAAAAAGGTAAGATTTGTCTAATGTCACTAGTATCTAATAGAATGACAAAAGTTCAGAGAGGCCTGGCATGGGCTGTTCCTGAGGTTTGTGACCTGTGAATTAAAAATACAGAATATATCTGCCTCTCTGTTCAGGACATGATGTAACCTTGACACTCTCCCCTCCCACACTACCCCCACCCCCTGCTGTAAATTTCCACCTCAGTTTATAAAAGAGAGAGGCATTCTGTTCCTTAAAGCAGAGCTACAGAGAAATGTGCTCCTGTAAGTTTTCTGAGTCTTTAGCATGCATACATACAATACATGAGGAAAGACCCTTATAGTTCTTTTTTTTTTTTTTTAAAGGTTTTATTCATTTATTTGACAGAGAGAGACACAGCGAGAGGGGGAACATAAGCAGGGGGAGTGGGAGAGGGAGAAGCAGGCTTCCCGCCAAGCTGGGAGCCCGATGTGGGGCTCGATCCCAGGACCCTGGGTTCATGACCCGAGCCGAAGGCAGACCGCTTAACAACTGAGCCACCCAGGTGCCCCAGAACCTTATAGTTCTTAAACTATAATGTACACACAGTGACCCAGGGTCTATGAAAATGTTTCTAATTCAGTAGGTCTGGGGTGAGACCTTAGGATCTGCCCAACAAGCTCCCAGTGAAGCCAGTGGCACTGGTTTATAGGCTACCTTTTGCACAGCGAGGCTTACCATGGACCTTTTCTTGGTTTGCTTATGTTAGGAAGAACAATTGGTAGTTCAGACACAGTGCAGTCACCATACATGGTTTTGATCCTCTGTCTCTCCTCACTCCCCTTTCCTTAATTCATGCCTTCATGATCTCTCCTGAACTCTGCAGTTGCCTACCAGCTTAGTACTCTCTTTGGTTTTCTCTCTCTGAGGCTGGCCAGGGTTATCTTTCTAAAGCGAATCTCTGATTGCATCACCTACTAATTAAAAACACTCGAGATACTTCACTCCCCCCACCACAGTAGGGCCCCACAGTCTTAGCAGCTCAGCCCTGGCCTGCTGTCTCAGCCTCAGTGCTCCCACACCTGGGCCTCTGTCTTCAGCCTATTGAAAATTTGCTGTTACTGATATTTTCTGTCTTTTCTTACACTTTCTTCTTTGTACATAGACCATTTACTCTGTCTACCTGGATTGCCCTTTTTCCCTTTGTCAGCCTAATGAACAACTCCTCTTCAAGATGCAGACCAAAAGCTAACTTGTGAAGCCTTTATTTTTCTTGGATTTTTCTTGAAGGGCTTTTCCTCTGTTCATGTCCCAATTCTAGTGTGTCTCACATTGTATTGCTCTTTTGTTTACTTGACCACCAGTGCTGTTTGACCCTGTGAGTTTTACTTCAACCTCAGAGCATTGAATATTTTGTAACCTCTGTTAATCAAATGGGTATAATGGTTTTAAGTTTGTAGATGATTATTTAGGGATGATCTTGAATATGTTTCTATTTCTTCTTGTTTGAACTCATCTGTTTATCTTTTGGTTATTATAATTTGTGATTTTCTTTTTAAGTAAACTCTAGGCCCAACATGGGGCTCGAACTCACGACTCCGAGATCAAGAGTCGCATGCTCCACTGACTGAGCCAGCCAGGCACCCCTATAATTTGTGATTTTTTTAGTAAATTGGAACAATTAAGGACATCTTAGACTGTAAGACCAGTTTTTGTAATAGAGTTTATTTAATGGGGAGGTGAGGGGACATTAATTTGACCCCCTGTTTGTCTCCTGAACCTGAAAGAACCAAAAAATTGGTTAGCAATGTAGTGTCAGGAGTTATGTAAAATTTCTGGTTTGTTTAGGAAAACAAAAATGTAAACATTTTAGATTTTCATTGTTTGTGTTTATCTTCTAGAGGATCTCTGGGAAAGTTTAGAAAATGCCAGTGGTAAACCTATAGCAGCGGTGATGAATACCTGGACCAAACAAATGGGATTCCCCCTCATTTATGTGGAAGCAGAACAGGTAACCTTATAAAAAGTCCTCCAGTTCATCTACTACTGTATTAAATGAAATTCAGTATTATCAAATTTGCTTTTCTGTACTTTAAGTATTCTAGGTAACATTTAAGCCAGCTCTTGCATTGTTTTCTCAGTGATTTATTATCTCTATACTGAATAGTTTGTCCCCCACATCATTAAAATCATACATACTTACAGCAGAAAACAAAATGTTGTCTACTTTTACTGTCCCCAAGGAAAACTTTGTAAACTTGATATGTTCTTTTTTTTTTTAAGTTTATTTATTTATTTATTTGCTTATTTAAGTAATCTCTATACCCCATATGGGGCTTGAACTCATGACCCTGAGATCAAGAGTTGCTTGCTCTTCTGACTGAGCCAGCCAGGCACCCCTTGATATAAATCTAAAATGAACAAGTGGGATTTATTCCAGGAATGCAAAGTTGGTTTAACAGTTAAAAAAACAGGGGCACCTGTGTGGCTCAGTTGGTGAGATGGCTGTCTTCGGATCAGGTCATGATCCCAGGGTCCTGGGATTGAGCCCCACATCGGGTTCCCTGCTCTACGGGAAGCCTGCTTCTCCCTCTCCCGCTCCCCCGTTTGTGTTTCCTCTCTGGCTGTCTGCCTCTCTGTCAAATAAATAAAATCTTAAACAAAACAAAACAGTATATTGATTCATAATCACTACATTAACAGAATACAGGTGAAGAACCATATAATCGCTTCAATAGATGTAGAAATAGCATTTGTTAAAATTCTACACCAATTTATAATATTCTTTAAAATTAGTTTTTTTTTTTTAAGATTTTATTTTTAAGTAATCTCTATACTCAACTTGGGTCTTGAAGCCACAACCCTGAGACCAAGTCATATGCTCTACCAGCTGAAACAGCCAGGTGTCCCTAAAATTAGTTTTAATGTTGGTTGGGTGGCGATGTGATTGTGATTAGAATTGCACTAAGTTGAACTCTTAGCTGCATTCAGAGAGGTGTACTTCAAAATGAGTTGTTCCCCCAACAGGACTGAGAGTTACACATCAGCCTTCAATGCATACCAGGAAGTTTATCTTAACTTAGTTTAATTATATGAAATTATGAAATTGTTCTTATATTTCTTTTCCATGGTTTTTTGACCTGCACAGAGAATTAATTACTATTCATTTTTAGGGAGGAAGATTCATAGCTCTTTTTTGGTATATGTTTGCTCTTGTGGTTCTGCACTGTCCATAAAACTAAGTATGTTTTGCAAAGATTTTCTCAATACGGCATTCTAAGTTAAGTTAGTAAATTTGGTTTTTTGTACGGTAAGAATTCTAGGTGACACTTAAACTAGCCCTTGTACTCTCAAAATGCACCCCAGTTTACATGATTTGTTACAGTGCTTGCAGGTTAACCTTTTGGAGCCACATCTTACCCTTAAACATGATTGTATTTTATAATAAAGTATACACATTTGAAGACCTCTCAGTTAGATTGAGCATTTGAAAAGGTAGTTTAGGGAATGCAATCAATCATTTCTTATGGGTGGGAGAAGATATCTAGAAGTTTAGTGACCTACTATTAGGCCATTATGACCATTTTGTTTCTTTCTACTCTTCTTCCTCCACTTTGAGCTGGTCTGTTAATAGGAGATGCCTGATCAAACTTGACATTGACATTCTATATTGACTAACAAGTAGTTTTCATTTTATCTGTTTTTAAGAATAATGACATGCTACAAAGATGATCTTTTCACCCCTGGGGATTTCATTCCCTCAAAAACTGTCAACACTTCAAAACTATTTAGTGATTACATGTAAAGCAGACTATTAGGCCATATTTTTTTCTTCAAGCAGAACACATTTTTAAGGTATCAGTTAGGATACTAATACCTGACTTCCTCTCTGTTACTGAGACTAAATTAACTTTTCCATCAAGCTACTTTCAAAGTCTTACTTTCTTTGCTTTGTTGTTTTTTGTCCACAAACACAGCCAAACTCATCCTCCATTTCACAGTATAATAAAAATAAAAAGCATATCTATGACTCTTAATTCCTTTAAAAATAGGAGAGCACTCCAACATATAATATCTTGATTATGATTTATTTCTCACTTTATATTCCCTAAATGTAAACATTTTTGCTTTATTTCTGAATCAATTTAAAAGTCACCTTTCAACTTTCTCGAGGACCTCTCTGTGACAAATAACTAATCAGTGATGCAGTGTTTAAGTTCATTAGCAAGTTCTTTGTGGCATCCAAGTGGTCATTGCTTCTTTACTCAGATCTTTTAGCTTTTCAGTTCTGTCTTGTGTAGTCAGTTTATCCATAAAGATCATGGCCTAATTTTACATTTGATGTGGGTGATGCTAAATCTGTTATATCTTAACATTATTTAAAATGTTCCAGGACATATTAACAAATGATAAGTAAAACAAATGAACGCATACTATTGAAGTATTTTTTTAAAATATATACTTGCCTTTGTTGCTTCTGGCTTTTTAGTGTGTTGCAGTTTTTCCTCCACCACTTTTTTTGTGTTTCATTGCAAAGCTCAGCCTTTGAAGCAAGGTGTGTGCCTCTTTCATGTTTATTGGTCTTTTTCATGTTTATTGGTCATTCTAAAAATTCGAATTCCTAACATGCTAATCTGAGGTTACCACTTTTTAGAAGTGGAAGAGTCTGGAGATACAACCTCCCTCTATAAAGATTAAAACAGCTTGCTGCAGTATTATTTATCGTTATGTATCCTTGAGAAAATGGTAACACTTTAAAGTTCTTGTCTGCATGTATATCTCTTCATTACATAGAACATGACCTTTTATTTAAAGTATTGTTATTTTGAGGCCTAAATGAGAAGCGGTGCCTTTTCTCCCATTCTATCATCATCTTCATCACTGTTGCACTTTGGGTTCTCATGAGACATTTGGCTATACTGGTTTCACCTTCTACTTTGTCACAGAAGTGTTGCCCCCTCCAAAAAAAAGGTGTGAATACTACTATTTTAGCTTTTGTTTTCCTTCTTTAGGTAGAAGATGACAGATTATTGAGGTTGTCCCAAAGGAAGTTCTGTGCCAGTGGACCATATGTTGGTAAGCAAGTGGCTATAAGTGGGAGCTGATAAATGAATTTGGATACCATATGAGTAGTGTTCCAATTAATAGGAAATAATTATCCATTCTGTAATATTTTTAATAGAATTAAATAAAAACAAGGAAATGGTAATAAAATACAAATCTAGGAAATCAAAAAGGGAGATTCATGAGGTATTTGTAGTGTTTTGATATTCTTTGATTTTTGAAATTCCATGTCTCTGTGTGTTATTGGAAGCTATAAGGAATGAATTAGGATAGGAACACCCAAGAAGTAATGCTTTAGCCTTCATCCCTAAAAGAAGCCTTGGTGCACATTTGTGTGGGTAGCTAATTTTTTTTTTTTTTTTAATTATTGGGCATACTAAGTAAGTAAACAAGTAAATAAATAAAGCCCAGTGATTATTTAGCATTATTATGTACCAGTTACCGTGCTAATCAGTATAACTGATCTTTGTTTTATAGCCTCAGCAGTCCCATTAGGTAGATAGTATTTCCTTTTACAAATGAGGGAGCTGAGGATAGCTGGGTTAGTTAAGTTGCCCAGGGTCACCTATCTAGTGAGTTAAAGAGTAGGAATTCAAACAGAATGGTTGGGTTACATGAATTTATACCTTTAACCACCACTCAACTCTGGTTTTTCAAATATTTCTACAGGTCATTGATTCTTTTGCTCAGGAAATTAAAAGTGTTTCTTTGCACCTTTCTCACTTCATTTTTTTTTAAGATTTTATTTATTTATTAGAGAGAGAGAGAGAGAGATTCTTATTAATTGCAACTTCAAACTGCACTGTCATTGTAATGAGGTGTTAACTTGGATGATGTGTTGTTGTAAACATACAGCTATAATCAAGTGAGATCAGATGTATAATAATAAGTGTGTCACTGAAATGTGAAATTCCTATAACGGGTGTTGGAAAACCATTTCACAAAAAATAACAGTTGGTAAAGATTATCCTGTACTCTGTACCATTCATAAGTAGGCAGACAGGCAGGCAGAGGGAGGAGAGGCAGGCTCCCTGCTGACCAGGGAGCCCAGTGTGGGGCTCGATCCCAGGACCCTGGGATCATGACCTGAGTGGAAGGCAGACGCTTAACCAACTGTGCCACCCAGGCACCCCTCTCACCTCCTTTAAAACAATAATTCTTAATAAGGGAAGGTATATATCAGAATCACCAATACCTTTTCATGCTCCGCCCTCCAAAATACAGTACACCCTGCTAGGGTTAAGAGGTACAGCCTTCCGTCCTTAACCTTCCTTAGCATTTAGAATTACTCTTTAGATAACTATGGCTGACAAGTCAGATGACAGGTTTATTATCCAAAATAAATCCCAAAGTGTTACAGTTTCTGTTTGCTGCCTCATACCAGTCTGCATGGTAGGACTGACAGGTTTTGCAGTTTTTTCAAATACTCTGTGACCAGTATAGGCAGTATTAAAACCTGAACTATCCCAACATTAGGAGAAAATTCTAATTTGTGCTTTAGTCTAATAGCATAAAGCTTATATAACTTATTAATAGTTAGAATAATGCATTGGGCAGTGACTCTCTTCTGTTTGGTATCTTAATTCAAAGTCTGTTTTGCTATCTGATACCTAAAAGACAGTATGTTATCTGCCTTACAAAAGTTTGGACTTTTAGCTATAACTTTTTAGTGATGGAATCCATCAGCTCTGGGGAGTATCATGTCTATGATATGATATCTCCGGGGAGTATCATGTCTATGATTTCTACAGAAATAAAAATCAACCCTTCAGTGTTTTAGTAGTATATATACCTGTTGAGGACTGCACCTTAGAATGTTTTTAAATGCTATGTGAGAGCTTTCACCTACTTGAAATTTCTTTTAACAGTAAAATCATTACTGTCTCTGTTGCTCAGTAAAGGGAAAATGACAAATTAAAATCACTATATTTGTGATACTACAACTGAATAAACTGTTCTCCTTTTTTAAGCTCTTGTGATTTTGTTAAAAAAATCCTCTCTTCCTTTGTACTAGTATTATTCAGATTATGGAAGAATTTATGTACCATTGAAAATGAGCTGTTGGCTTAACAGTTAGACTCAAGCTCATGTGTAGGACACCTGTCCTCTCTCTCTGCCTTACCCTCTGTTTCTTCCAGTGACAAATTATTTTTCAAGTTTCCTATTTGTTCTTCTCTTGCTTAAGGAGAAGACTGTCCCCAGTGGATGGTTCCTATCACAATCTCTACTAGCGAAGATCCCAACCATGCCAAACTGAAAATTCTGATGGACAAGCCAGAGATGAATGTGGTTTTGAAAAATGTCAAACCAGACCAGTGGGTAAAGGTAAGTCTAGAAATGGCCTGGCCATTTTTATCTGACCAAAATTAATTGATTTCTCTCACTCCCTTTATGCACTTTATGGCTGGCTCTAAATTCTGCCTTAGTTTAGACTAGGACTTGCACAGACAAAAGCATTACTAAACTTTCCTGTGTGAAGTTTAGGGCCAGTTTTTCAAATAATATGGTCTAGATATCTTCCCTTACGTCAATTAAGGAAGTGGTATAAGCAGATATTAAAGGATAGGATCAAAGGGGAAAAAATAGTAGATTATGTGTAAAGTCACATTAACCAAAAGATTTGTAGTCTTGCAACTTCAAACTGCACTGTCATTGTAATGAGATGTTAACTTGGATGATGTGTTTTCGTTGTAAATATACAGCTATAATCAAGTGAGATCAGACGTATAATAAGTGTGTCATTGAAATGTGAAATTCCTATAACTGGTGTTGGAAAACCATTTCACAAAAAATAACGGTAAAGATGATTTTTCATTATCCTGTATTCTGTACCATTCATAATGAAAGTATCTACTACACTTTTCTCCCAGTTATAGGTTCCTAATAGGAATTATACGTTGTCTCAGACTTTTGTGCTTTTCTGAAAAAAAACATTTCTCTCTTTGTTTTAACATATATTTTTAAAATATACTTAATGGAATACTATATTACCATTTGAAATTACATCTGGGAGATTATGTAGCCGTATGAAATTTTTCTTATAAATGAGAAAAACGTGTATGCAGTGTTTGTAATTGAGTAAATAAAGGTATTATTACTGCAGTAAAAGTTAAAGGGACGAATAAAACAGAAGTTGTATTATTGTGAGGTGATTTTAAAAAATACTTATATATAAATAGTAAAATATATCTTATGCTATTATTTTAGCTTTAAAACATTTTATATATAAGTATTATCAAAAATATTTTTGGGGCGTCTGGGTGGCTCAGTCGGTTGGGTGTCTGCCTTTGGCTCAGGTCGTGATCCCAGGGTCCTGGGCTCGAGCTCCGTGTCGGGTTCCCTGCTCGGCGGGGAGTCTGCTTCTCCTCTCCCTGCCTCTCTGCCTATCTGTGCTATCTCTCTGTCAAATAAATAAATTTAAAAAAAAAAAAAATTTTTTTTTTGCCTGTTGGTAAATAGCCTATAGAGAATAATGACAGTCTGTGATTACCTCACTCCACAAATCACATGAAATTACCTTTTAAGTCCACATAATTCTTTAAAATCTAGGATCTGAGCATTGTTGTTCTGTTGAGACTCTGGCTGAAAAGATAAGTGTAAAAGGCTTAGTCTTCCTCAGAGATTCCACTGTCCATGCACTCTTACATATAGTAAATATTTTCTGTAAACTTAAAACTGTCCACTGAGAGTAGATAGAAACTGGCCCCTGTGACTTTCTGCCTCCCTACCATCAAGCTCAGTTTGGAGCCTGATGTGGGGCTCGATCTCCCAACCCTGAGATCATAACCTGAGCTGAAATCAAGAATCAGACGCCTAATCGACTGAGCCACCCAGGCACCCCAACAACCAATTTCTGTCTTTACGTGTTGTTTCATTTTCATCCCTGCCTGTATATGTGAGCTTTGTTGTTTTCGCTCAGATAAACGGAAACCAGAACAACTTTCACACCTGCTCAAGATGCTTTTTTTTTTAAAGATTTTATTTATTTATTTGAGAGAGAGAGAGCACATGAGAGGGGGGAGGGTCAGAGGGAGAAGCAGACTCCCTGCCGAGCAGGGAGCCCGATGCGGGACTCGATCCCGGGACTCCAGGATCATGACCTGAGCCGAAGGCAGTCGCTCAACCAACCGAGCCACCCAGGCGCCCCTGCTCAAGATGCTTTAAAAAAACAAAGGCAACTGTTTAATTTATAATGCCCATTGGGTGTCTTTTCAGTTAAACCTGGGAACAGTTGGATTTTATCGGACGCAGTACAGCTCAGCCATGCTGGAAAGTTTATTACCAGGCATTCGTGACCTCTCTCTGCCCCCTGTGGATCGACTTGGATTACAGAATGACCTCTTCTCCTTGGTGAGCCTCTCTCAAGTAGTATGATGAATTTTGTTGATTAAAGGATTTTGTTTTTTCTGGAGTGTCCTCCTGAAACATAATTAGAAGAATATGGTTCTTCCTGAAGGTTGAACACCTTTTGGGACTAGAGCAAATGAATAATTATTAATTAACAGGGCAAGATCGAACCTTTTTAATTTACCAGAAACAAATCCCATCCCACTACTCCTAAGCCAGGTTTTGCAACTAAAACTGTCCTTTGTAAGGCAGAAATTCTTTTCAGTAGAAATAGGATAGGTATGAGCCTTGAAGAAACTTCCCTACTGGTGTGTTTTTTAAAATAATTAATTCAGAGTGATTCATCTTTTTCTAAAACAGTGATTATACTTTGCTGGAAACATCTAGAATTTTTTAACATTCCATTGGTACTCAAATAATAATAGCCCATTAGCTTTAGAATTATGTTATATTTGGCTTTGTTCCAGGAAGGATTTAAATCAGCAATTAGTAGTATTATCTTTATGACTCCAACAGAGGTTAGATAATTTCCAGATGTCTGTGATAAATTGTCAGATTCCTCCTAGTGTTCCTTTAAATTGGACTTGAAATTTTCCCTCCCCTCTGCAGTAACTGGTTTTGGATTCCTCCTTTGTATAAACACAGATTAGCACTGATGCACAAAACCTCACATCTGCTGATCTCATTGCTGAGAGAGACCTGTCCCAGGAGAGTGGTGTGTTTGTGCAGTTGGCTGCTGTAACAGAAGTTCTTTTTCCTAGCTCTATTAGTTAATTCTGAAAGGACTCTGAATTTGTAGTGCCTTCCAGTTTGCCTTCTTTTAGAAATGAGTAAAGGACAGGCTGAAGTTGACACAGTTTGCAGGTCCAGTTTTGAAACAGCCTCTGTCAAAAACCAAAGCCCTAACTATTTTTGCATCTTTTCTGAAAGTATGAGAATTTTTAAAATAAAAACAAAGCCAAGGCCCCAGACACTGGATAGAAATAGGAAGTTATTTTCTTTCTTGCTTTCTTTTTTTTTCTTTCTTTCTTTCTTTTCCATTGAAGTATAGTTGACACACAATGTTACATTAGTTTCAGGTGTGCAACACAGTGATTCCACACGTCTCCACATCATGCTGTGCTCACCACAAGTGTAGCCACCTTCTGTCACCAAACAGTGCTTTTTTACTCGGCTCTTTTATAAATAGCAAAAAAGTAAATAAGGAATGTTGTCATGATAGGATTTTTATTCTAATAATCTCCTGAATTTATATAGTCTCATTTCCTTTAAACCAGAGACATGACTAACTAGCAGTAGATAATGCTGAAAATGCATGCTTATGTTTTTTTGTTTTAGTTTTTGAAGACTAGATTAATTTATGTTTTTTCCTATCCCAGGCTCGAGCTGGAATCATTAGCACTGTAGAGGTTCTAAAAGTCATGGAGGCTTTTGTGAATGAGCCCAATTATACTGTATGGAGCGACCTGAGCTGTAACCTGGGGATTCTCTCAACTCTCTTGTCCCACACAGACTTCTATGAGGAAATCCAGGAGTTTGTGAAAGATGTCTTTTCACCTATAGGGGAGAGACTGGGCTGGGACCCCAAACCTGGAGAAGGTAATGGATGTACTGAATGGGGAAGGAATTGATGAGAAATTGATCCTTTTTTACTCAGCTGTGGTTAACAGTATCAGTAGTGTCTTTGTATCTGCTGGATGTTACTATGTATTCAGCTCGCCAGAAATGAAATCTTGAGTCTTTTACATTTACTGGTGAAATTACATGGGTCTCAACATAAAAACGGTGGTGGTTATGTGTATTCACTGCTAAATATGATTTGTAAACAAAGCAAATGGTGGAAATAGAAATCTTTTACAGAGTTCCAAAGGCCCATCTATAATCAAGAATAGCTAAGGGGGGGCACCTGGGTGGCTCAGTCGTTAAGTGTCTGCCTTCGGCTCAGGTCACATGATCTCAGGGTTCTGGGATCGAGCCCCACATCGGGCTCCCTGCTCGGCGGGAGGCCTGCTTCTCCCCCTCCCACCCCCCCTGCTTGGGTTCCCTCTCTTGCTGTGTCTCTCTCTGTCAAATAAATAAATAAAATCTTTAAAAAAAAAAAAAAAGAATAGCTAAAGGGAATTTTGGATTATTTTATTTATTATTACCCTAAATACCAGGCACCTTGTATGTACAAGTTGTAAAGATACTGAGAGACAGTACCTGAATTAAGGAAGTTATTTACTTTCTCCATGTGTGTTCTCTTTGATTATTTCTGTAATCATATATTTACTCTTTTGCTGTCCTGTAAATGTTGGGGATGGTGATCTTAAGGCTTTATATATAATTATTTTCTACCATCTGCAAATAACTAAAGATGGTATTTCCTCCCGAGCAGTCTTGATCTGGGATGGGGTCTTTTGCAATAAGAACAACAGTAACAATTACCTAGAGTTCTGTGTTTTCCCTTCATTGATTCAACAAATATTTATGCACCTAGTAAATACTAGGTTCTATTCTGGGAGCTTTCACAGCAGTGAAGAAAGCACTGCCCTGTGTGACTTACATTCTAGTGGGAGACACAGCAAACCATTAAATGTGTGGTATTTTAGGTGGCAATGGGCATCATGAAGAAAAATACAGTTAGGTGAGGTACACAAAGAGGAGGAAGCCGGTAGCTCATAGAGAGTGGCCAGAGCAGCCGTCCCTCATGATGAGGTGATATGTGAGCATGAGCAGAGAGCTGGGAGGCTGTCTAGAGGGAAATGGTCCAGAGAGGGAGCAACCGGTACAGAAGGCCTGCGGCAGGAGCATGCTTTGGTTGTTGTAATAACAGGACAGAGTATGGAGGGAGACAGGGCGTAGGAAGCAATTCAGCTCCTGTTGGACCTGTGGGAGCTAGTACATTTTGGACTTTCACCGTTAGTGGTATGAGAAACGAACCTGAGAGTTGAAGCAGAAGAATATGACTGGATGTATTCAGCTGTGTGAAAACCAGACTGGAGTCAGGAGGCAAGAGAAAGGAGCAGGGAGATAAGTTACAAAGCTGTTTCAGTAGTCCAGTTGAGGCACTGGCTACAGCTCACACTTGTAGGTGGTAAATTCTGTGGATGTTTTGAAGGTAGACCTGAACCTATTTGGTGGTGGACTGGCTGCAGTGGAGTAAAAGCAGCCCCCACATTCAGGCCTGAAGGAGTGAAGTTGCCATCTACAGGAGTGGGGAAGGCTGCCATAGAAGCATGCTGGGGGCAGAGGCAGTCAGGAGTTGGGTTTTGGACTTGGGAAATGGAAGGTCCTTTTAGACACCCTGGTGGAGAGTATCATGCCTAGAGGTCTAGGCGGAATAAATCCATTTAGTGTGTAGATGGTATTTATAGCCATGAGACTGGATGAGATCATGCAGGGCTTGAATGTAGGTGCAGAGAAGAAAGGTCTGAGGACTAGGTCCTAGGTGAGGCTAGGATTTGGAAATTGGGTGGAAGAGGAGCAATCAGCTGGGGAGACTGACTGACCAGTGAGTGAGTTGGGAGAGTCAGGAGGGAGGAGATGTCCCGGAAGGAGAGTTATCCACATGACACATGCAGCTCTGAGTCAGGCAAGATAAAGGAGAATTGAGGATTACATTGGCAGATTTTGTGGAGTGGTGGAGACCAGTTTTGTGTTCTCCGGACTAGGAGTAGGGGAAAAGGAGACAGCACACTTAGACAACTTTTTAAAGGAGTTTTGCTGAAAGGGGGTAGTCTGGAGTGGAGGCATTTTTTTAATCAAGTGGGAGATTTTATAACATGTTCTTGTGCTGATAACAGTGATGCATGAGTAATAGAAAACTTCGTGATGTGAAAGAGAGGGGAGTAGTAGCTGAGCAATGGCCAGTGATGGAAAGGAGTCGGGGTCCAGGGGAGGAGGTGGCTTTAGACAGGAGCACAGATCCCAGAAACAAGACAGGAGAGGTATGTGAAGACAGATTCAGGCAAATTAGTGGATGTTCTTCATTTTCATGGTGAAAATATGTAAAACTTTTGGGCTCAAACACAGCTTTATGAAATAGGGAGAATGTCTTTAGCTTTCTAGTTTTATAGATGGAAGAGTCAAAACGGCAAAATAACAAAACGTTGTCTTGCATCACATAGCAAGTCAGTACCAGAGCCGGAATTATAAATTGGTTCTTCACTAATGTCCTCTTGTCTTATCTATTGATCTCCTGTGGTTTTCTTAAACTTACTTTTTACTGAGTTATGATTTAAATGTAGCAAGGTGCACATAAATTTAAATGTTACAGTTCAGTGACTTTTGACAAATGCATACACCTAAGGAGGTTACCTTGGGGCCCCGTCCCGGTCAGTCCCTGCCACTCAGGTGCCCCCTACCCGTCCCATGCAGGCAAACACTGTTCTGCCTTCTTTCACCCTACATTAATATTACCTCTTCTAGAACTTTATGTAAATGGAATCCTAATATATATTCTGTTCTTCTATCTGGCTTCTCTCGCTCAGTATAATGCTTAAGATACATCCAGTGTGTTCATTCCTTTTTATTGCTTAGTAGTATTCATTGTATGAATATACCATGACTTATCTGTCCATTTTGGTATTGCAGTTGATCGTTGCTGGTGTTAACTTCTTTTTTTTGAGATATAATCAGTATATCATAAAATGGACCTTTTTAAAGTATACAACTGAGTCTTTTTTAGTTTGTTCACAAGGTTGCACAACTATCACCACTATCTAATTCCAGAACAGTTTCTTTAGCCTCAAAAGAAACTGCATACCCATTGGCAGTCACTCCCCATTCCCTGGCAACCCCCGTCCCTGGCAACCACTAATCTGCTTTCTGTCTCTATGGATTTGCCTACTCTGGGCATTTCATATCAGTGGGCTCATACCCCATGTAGCCTTTCGTGTCTCGCATTTTTCACTTAGCAGAATATTTCCAAGGTACATCCATTTTGCACTGTATATCAATACTGCATTCCTTTTACAGCTGAGTAATATTCTATTGTATGGGCGTACCACATTTTGTATATTCATCACTTGATGAATGTTTGGATGGTTTCTACTTGACAGTTGTGAATACTGCTATGAACATGTGTGTACAAGTTTTTGTGTGGACAAAATGCTTTCATTTCCCTTGGGTATATACCTAAGAGTAGAATTGCTGGATCATATGGTAACTCTGTGTTTAACCTCTTTAGGAATTACCAGGTTGTTTTTCAAAGTGGCCACAGTTTACGCTCCCACCAGCAATGTATGAGGATTCTAATTTCTCCATGCTTGTTATTATCTTTTTCAGTCATCCTAGTGGGTGTAAAGTGGCATCTCATTGTGGTTTTGATTTGCATTTCCCTAATGACCAGTGTTGAACATCTCTTTATGTGCTTATTGCGCATTTACACATCTTTGGAGTAAAGAGATCCATCAGAGGTTGATTTTTAAATCTAAGATTTCAATTTATTATACACAGCATACTGGTTCTGTATGTGACCTTTCTCTGAATCTTGGGTCAAAACTGCAAGACCTAAGCCTGTTCCTTTCACATATAATCCTTAGCAGTATAATTACCTAGGTGGAGTGAACATTTAATAAATTCAGATCAATGGCATTTGTAGACAAAGTCAATGAATTTATTTATCTAGTCTGTTTAGCACTTCATTTCACTCTTATGATTTGAATAATGTAAATCAGGTGTTCTCTCAAATACTAAGGTAATTGATTGTTCAAGATGGTAGACATAATATGACACAATTTATAAGATAGCCAGGTGGCATATTTGTGAAAACAGGATTTTTAAGCAGTTTCATGTCTCTTTTACTTCTTAATCAGGTCATCTAGATGCACTCCTGAGGGGCTTGGTTCTGGGCAAACTAGGAAAAGCGGGACATAAGGCAACGTTAGAAGAAGCCCGTCGTCGGTTTAAGGACCATGTAGAAGGGAAACAGATTCTCTCCGCTGATCTCAGGAGTCCTGTAGGTTTTCATGAAAATAACCTTGATTTCTAAGCGACTGCATCATTATGTGTATAGTATGGAATGTATTTAATGGTAACCAAAAATGACCTAAGTACTGACCCACAAGTCATGTCTGACTCTGATTTAATAGGTGCCATTTAGGTGGTTTGTAGCCAACTTCTCCTTTGTTTAAAGTTTCTCAGACCACACTCTGGGGCTGAAAGGTGATCATCAGTGCACATTTCCCTGAGAGAGCTGGTGTGAGCTGCTGTTACTTACTACATGCTGTCTACCTTGCTGGTTTTCAATGTGGGCTCTAAGCTCTTTGCCACAATTTGTAATGTAACATCCACACACAGCTGTTTATAAGTTTTTTGACTCGCTTTATGTCTTAACATTGGACTATTTGGAACAAGATACATTTAATCATATGCCTTCTTTTTTGTTCCTGTATTCTCTTGTAGGTCTATCTCACTGTTTTGAAGCATGGTGATGGCACTACCTTAGACATTATGCTAAAAGTGAGTAAATTTGGAAAGGGCTCCCGTTTTCTGCTGTTGAACTTGAATTGACACAGAGATTATGAGCTTTAGGTGGTTAAAAGTCTGGGCAAAAGAAATACATGCATATATGCATATTGCAGGCAAAAACTAAGAAACTATGGGAGGGGCGCTTGGGTGGCTCAGTCCATTAAGCGTCTGACTCTTGATTTCAGCTCAGGTCATGATCTCAGGGTCATTAGATGGAGCTCCATGTTGGACTCTGCACTCGGCAGGGAGTCTGCTTAGGATTCTCTCTCTCTCTCCCTCAGCGCCACCCCCCCCAATTCTCTCTTTCTCTCTCTCAAAAAGAAAAGAAACTATGGGAGAAATATATAATGTCTTCTTCATGTATACTACCAATACGATGCCAAAAGTCATCGAATTTCTTCACTTTTTTATTTGTAAGTTTATGCATCTTAAATCTAAAAATTGAAATGTTCATTTTAACATGTCAAGTTCTTAAAATTTTTTCCTTCAATGTAAACTTACTAAGGTACTTCCCATTTTAAAGAAAACATTTGTGTCTGTGCTTAGAAAGAGGATAGATGGGGGCGCCTGGGTGGCTCAGTCGTTAAGCGTCTGCCTTCGGCTCAGGTCATGATCCCAGGGTCCTGGGATCGAGTCCCGCATTGGGTTCCCTGCTCTGTGGGAAGCCTGCTTCTCCCTCTCCCTCTGCCTGCCGCTCTGCCTGCTTGTGTTCCCTCTCTCTGTCAAGTAGATAGATAGATAGATAGATAGATAGATAGATAGATAGATAGATGATAGATAGAACTTTAAAAAACGGGGGGGATAGATGATCAGGTGTCTCAAGAGTTTGAGCTTCCAGTGCCTTTTATGAATGGACAGGAAATGACGTGACCTGCCTGCATCGCCTCCATAGTTTTCCCAGGGTAGTTGGCATGTAATTAAACTCTAATACTACCACTGTGGGACAAGCGCTGTCTCCAGTCCCTGTCCATGTGGTTATCGATCTAAGAAATAACTTGACTATTCTGGTTGCACTGGAGATGGAGGGAGCTGAATCTATTACCATCAAATAAAATGTGCAAAATGTGCCTAAGTCAAACCTTATGTAAAGCCCATTCATTTAAAAACCTGCACTTAGGGGGGAATAAACAAAACAGGAATGGGATATACTTTATTACTTCCATCTTTAATGGATTAAGAACACTTTCCTGATCTCAAGGGGATCAGAATTACAGATCTAATTTCTAGTATTTAGTTTTTGTTTTTGTTTTTTTAAAGATTTTATTTATTTATTTGACAGAGACAGCGAGAGAGGGAACACAAGCAGGGGGAGTGGCAGAGGGAGAAGCAGGCTTCCTGCGGAGCAGGGAGCCCAATGCGGGGCTCAATCCCAGGACCCTGGGATCATGACCCGAGCCGAAGGCAGACGCTTAACAACTGAGCCACCCAGGCGCCCCTCTAGTATTTAGTTTTAAACAAATCCTGTTTAAATGATTAGAATAGTTTGAAAAATATAAACTTTAAGAAACTCAAAATATGCCATTTTAACTACTGATCTTGTACAAGAGTTTCCTTCTAATAATATAAAAATTATACTTTGGGTTTACCTTTCAATTAAATGACATTGAGGTCCCTTCTCATTCTTAGTATTCTGTGAACCTGTGCACTATAAATCATGTATTTCTTTGCAGATGAAATCAAGTATTTGTGGATTTTGTCTTTTCCATAAAAGTATGGAACAAAATAGGGGTTCTAGAATTCTCATGACAGATAACTTTGACATTTTCATGTCCTGTCATGCTTCAAAGAACTTACACTAGTACTAGTATGTATATTTAATAAGTGTTTGCATCTGTTAACGCAAGGGAGCTGACTGTAATTCTGCTTTACTATAGGAAGAGCTCTAATGAAGGCCAAATTAGGTTTCTTCAAGAAACCAGTTGATGGGAGATGAGGAGGATTGTTTTCTGTTGGTAATTTAGGAATAATGAGACAGGATAAAAAAATATGTGTATTTTATTTCAAAGTGTATTTGGAATGTGGTGTTATGGTGCCATCTAGTGGTCTAGTGTAACAGGTTCTCCTTGGGGAAAACAATGCTTCCTGAAAGCCAGTGTTCAGTCAGGCCTTGAGTATTGGAGCTGAAAAGGACCAAAGAAATTATCTGTCCACCCCACTCATTTTACAGATGGGGAACTGAGATCCAGAGAGGTTAAGGACTTAGTCAAGATCACACAGCTAGTTAGAGGCAAAACTGAGACTAGAACCCAGGTCTCCTGACTTCCTATTTATTTCACCACACTGCTCCTCAAAAGAGTCCAAAGGAAAGGAAGAGGAAACTGGGACCTGTGATGGGGTCTACAGACACTGGTCAGTATAGAATCTTCAGTGGGAGAGAAGATCAACAGTCTATAGATTAAGTTGTCTTGGAGAGGCATCTCATATGCCCTTGTAATTCTAATTTTTTACATGTATAATAATGTTTTGCTTCTGATGATTAAAAAAAACTGGTATATTCACTATGGAAGATTTAGAGACTATAAAAGTATAAAGAAAATAAACTTACCTATAATTTAAAAAATTTTTAAAGGTCACAAAATAGGTATAAGATGATCTTATTTCCAATTTGGTAATATGTACATATCATAATAATTTAATTTTTTTTCTTTTTTTTTCCTAAAGATTTTATTCATTTATTTGAGAGAGAGAGAGAGAGAGAGAGAACATGAGTGGGGGTGAGGGGCAGAGGGAAAGACAGAAGCAGACTTCCCACAGAGCAGGGAGCCCGACGCAAGGCTTGATCACAGGACCCTGAGATCGTGACCTGAGCTGAAGGCAGACACTTAACCAGCTGAGCTACCCAGGCTCCCCAATAATTTAATTTTTTCTTTATGCTTCTCTATTTTCCTAATTTTCTGCATTCGGCATGTGCTGATTTTGCAGTTGAAAAATGTGATGGTACAGAATCCCACTGATCAGAGACTCATGAATTAATATTAACATTTATTTTTTACTATTAGAAATAAACTGATGACCTTCAATGGTATTAGTGATGATTAGTTTGTTCATCTAACATAGAACATTAGTCAGACATCATACCCCTCAGATCTTGATGTTAAACTGCTCAGAACTGATGACAAGCCATTCACGTAGTACACACTTAATTTAATGACTTACTGTAATGGCATAGGATAAATGTAGTGCCTGAATATCTTGAAAAGTATTATCTTTTGTTAATTTCATACCCTGCAATCTCAGCCAACGAGAATATAGAGCAAAAGTTTGGGAAAGAAGCTCATACAAGCATATGCGTAACTTCTAGGAGAGTTAACTATCTCTTTATTTTTTCATTGTAGCTTCACAAACAAGCAGATATGCAGGAAGAGAAAAACCGAATTGAAAGGGTCCTTGGGGCTACTCTTTCACCTGAATTGATTCAAAAAGTCCTCACGTTTGCACTTTCAGTAAGTTACAACAAAAACTGCTTATAGAGGGAATTGTAACCCACTGATCTGTGGCAAGTGCCTTTGATTCAGTATCCTCTAGATCTGCTTTAACCCTAAACTAAGTCTTCCTCTTAGTCTGGGGAAAATGAGTGGACTTTTGCTACTGACCTATATATCTCCTTCTAATGGTGAGAATCAGAATAGTTGGAAGCAGAAATAAACTGGAAAGCCTGTTTATCCCTGTACCTATCTTCTGTCTCTTCCTTTCTTTACCCTGGAGGGACCCAAGCAAGTATCTGTCGAGTAGCCTGTTTGTACCTGTCTCAATGCTTCATTCTCAATTTGGCTCATCTTTAGGTTAAACAGTCTCCTCTTTGGTGGAAGCTTCTGGTCCCAGTTATTCCTAAAACAAGGAATGAGGGTCTTCAGTGTGATTACTTGGGGACCTCAAAAGCATTTGCCATTCCTGCCCCAGAAGATGTTTTGAATACAGTAGATTTTTTGTTCTTTTTCTGTTTTTAGGAAGAGGTACGTCCACAGGACACTGTATCAGTAATTGGTGGAGTGGCTGGAGGCAGCAAGCATGGAAGGAAGGCTGCTTGGAAGTTTATAAAAGACAACTGGGAAGAACTTTATAATCGATACCAGGGAGGATTCTTAATATCCAGACTAATAAAGGTATGTGAAGATTTTTATTTTGAGTACCTCGTTTATCATGGATGTTATTTAGAGACATCCATGGTTCACTAGGCCTATAGACTATGGTCTTTGCTCTTCAAGAGTTTCTAAAGAAGGAAAGAGGGAGGGAGGGAGGAAGAGTTTCTTTAAATACTTATTAGCTTTATTAAAGGGCTTATCCATCACCCATCTTGCACCCTCTAGAATATTCTGAAGTTGGGAGAGAATGGAATGATTCATTTTTAGGAAAAATGGAATTTTGTTCCTAGCCTGTTTTAGTTGCATTTACTGTTTAAACTGTTGTGTTTTTTTCAGCTATCAGTTGAGGGATTTGCAGTTGATAAAATGGCTGGAGAGGTTAAGGTAAGCAAAGTGCTATTTACTTTTTACTTTTCAAGGTAGTAAGTAAAAACACTAATGAGTCAAATTGTAATCATACAGTGTTGGGTCATGCTGTATTTATCCTTGTTTTTGCTTGGGAAAAGACAGCTTGGGTTGTGTCTTTAATGCTCGAAGAATTTGGGGTTGGAATCATCTTTGAGGGCATTGAAATATGGCTGAAAGAACCTGAAACTTGGAATCAGTCAATCTGAGTAGAAATCCGTGCCCTGCCCTATTAGCTATGTGACTTCAAGCAAGTTTTTTGTTTTTGTTTTTTTTTAAGATTGGTCTTTTTTTTTTTTTAAGATTTTATTTATTTATTTATTTGAGAGAGAGAGAGAGAATGAGAGATAGCACGAGAGGGAAGAGGGTCAGAGGGAGAAGCAGACTCCCCGCTGAGCAGGGAGCCCGATGTGGGACTCGATCCCAGGACTCCAGGATCATGAGCTGAGCCGAAGGCAGTCGCTTAACCAACTGAGCCACCCAGGCGCCCTTCAAGCAAGTTTTTAACCCCTATGAGCTCCCTATGTCTCCTCATCCATAAAATGAGATGATAATAAGATTGTTATTTAGAGTAATTAACATAGTGGGATGGAAGGGAGTAGTAGGTCCTTTATAATTTTTTCCTTTCTAATAACCTTCCTAGATCTGCCATATGCAGAGGGAGACAAGATGGCTATGTAGTACTCTCCTCTTAGCCTTTACAAAGGTCAGTAGTCAGTTAAGTGGTAAAGTTCAGCATTTGAGGAACAAATCTACACTGATTAGGAAAATCTTAACTTCAGGGGCACCTGGGTGCCTCAGTCGTTGGGCATCTGCCTTCGGCTCAGGTCAGGATCCCAGGGTCCTGGGATCGAGCCCCACATCGGGCTCCCTGCTCCGCGGGAAGCCTGCGTCTCCCTCTCCCACTCCCCCTGCTTGTGTTCCCTCTCTCGCTGTGTCTCTCTCTGTCAAATAAATAAATAAAATCTTAAAAATAAATAAAGAGATACTTGATTCTGGAGAATATTTTTTAAAAAATCTTAACTTTAAGCCTTCCATTGCATTTAACTGTGAAGTACCTTTGAAATGTCATTTTCACCTTCATCTTCTTGAGGGCAGTGGGGTTATGAGGCATAAATTTGGAAGTTCTGAGAGCTATAGTGTTGTTTCATTCACTCTGCAAACCATTTTACGAATAGGATTTTAAGAATTCAGATCTTGAGAAAACAGTGAAAGACTTGCTCTCTGCCTTCATTTAGTTTACATAGTATATTGTGCAAACAGTTCCTTTATTGTAAAGGATATAAGTACTCTGAAGGAGAAGTACATATACAGGTTTTGGAGGGGAAGGGCAGTGAGTGGCCGAGCTGAGGCTGGTTAAGATAGGTAGAGGTCAGACCGTGGAAGGCCTTGTAGGCTGTATGAACATTTTCCTAAGAGTGGAAAGCCCTTGAATTGCTTATAAACAGTGAGTTGATGTGATTTTTGTGATAAAAATTTCAGTCTGGCTGCAGTGTGGAGAATAGTGTGGAATAGGGAAGAGAAGATGTTGGGATGCTAACTCTCCAAGCGAGAATGATAAAGTAGCTTGGGGGAAAGGGAGTAATGAAATTGAGGGGGCCTGATTTTGTTAATCTTTAGTTCAACAAATATTTACTGAGTGGCTTCTCTGTGTTGTGAACATACCTGGCAGAGGAAGAAGGAAGAGTCGAGGAGGATTCCCAGGTTTCTTTTATGTAAATGGTAGTGCTATTTGTTGAGATGGAGTGAGGGGAAGTCCTGTATCTTACTCAGGCCCTAAGGAGCCTTGGAGCAGGGGCCATTGTCATCTGTGTAAACAAAATAAGGTTATTGATTTCCAAAAGTTCTAGACTTAATCTGATGAATTAGTCATTCTCTCTTTTACGCCTGTGATGACTAGTTCAAAGACCCCCATCCTTTTGCTGGTTGGTATTTAAGAGAGAGAGAGAGAGACAGAGTGAGAGAGAGTGGGGGAGGGGCAGAGGGAGAGAGAGAATCTCAAGCAGAGTCCCCAGTGAGCCTGGAGCCTGACTCGGGGCTTGGTCCCGGGGCCCCGAATCATGACCTGAGCTGAAATCAAGAGTGGGACGCTTAACTGACTGAGCCACCCAGGCGCCGCAAGAGTTGCTTTGTTTTCTGTGAAACTTGGCATACTTCATTAGAAAATAGTTTATTGCATCTTTAATCAATAAGCTTTGTGATAAATTATAATAAACTCAGAAGTAGTCTTGTATGAAAAATGTGAGTCTATGGAGCAGTAATCAAAGCTTTGTGGTTTTGTCATCCTTCACAATTTAATCTCTTTTAGAAGCAGTCAGAATGTGTTTTGAGTCCTTAAGGACTCTGCCTGCCAACTATTATGTTAACAGTTTATATGGGTTTCTCTTTAATCGTCTGGAGTATTTTCTCATGAATGAGAAAACAGAAGAGTTAATTTAACTAAAAGTCATAGGCTAATACATGACCAAGCCTAGATTTCAGTCCCTTGCCTAATTCCAAAACCTACACTAACCACTAGATGATGAATCTGAAAGAAAGGCCATAGGTTCTATCTCTTTATTAACTTTTGATTCAATTTTAAGCATATATTTGGAGAAGAATTCCTATATGCAAGTCCAAGAAGCTGCTTGTTTTCTTTTAGCCTGGGAGTGGCAATGGTAAAATTTTCATGATTGAAGCTTTTGAATCCTTTACAGAACAGTGGGTGTTTTTTCATGACCTGTGATATTAGTACCTTCTTACTATTGCTAGTAATGATCCTGCGTTCTGGGTTGTTTTATACCAGGCTTTCTTCGAGAGTCATCCGGCTCCTTCAGCTGAGCGCACCATCCAGCAGTGTTGTGAAAATATCCTGCTGAATGCTGCTTGGCTAAAGCGAGATGCTGAGAGCATTCACCAGTACCTCCTTCAGCGAAAAGCCTCACCACCTACAGCGTGAGCCCTGAGCACACCACCGCTGCGGTCCTGCCGCTTGGCTGCTGGGGGGGATAAGGTGGGGTTACCGAACAGCTGATTCACATGCCAAGAATTTGGAGTCTTCTTTCAAACCAGTGGGGGTTGGACAATGAATGTAGTTAACTGGTTCCTGCTCACACTCCAGAATTAAATCCTATTGAAAAAGGAAAATCAGCAATTCAGCAAAAAAATAAAAATAAAAATAAAAAGTAAAAATGTAAATATGATAGTAATAAAATAGAGCATAACGAAACTGTGAAACTTCCTGAAGCCTTGTCAGTGGTTAAAAGTATTTAACACTCTCCTGTTAATGACAGATGTTCTGTTTTTATAACCTACCAAAAGGAAACTAGAGGCTTCTGGGTGAAGAAGATTTTTTGTGAAGTAGGTTCTGCAAGCAGCCTACAAGCCAAGGGTAGTGTCCATTGCTGGGAATGGTTAAACATGAAAGGCTGATAGCTGGTATAACATAGAGTCTGTGCATAATTCCAAGTGTTTTTTGGTTTTTTTGGGTTTGTTGGGTTTTTGGTTTTTGGGGGGGTTTTTTTTTGGTTTTTTTTTTGTTTGTTTTTGTTTTTTTGGCATGGGGACTGATCGGGAAGATATATTTTCCGCATAACTCAATCTGAAGCAAGGATCATAATTTTCCTCCATGCCTTCCCTCCTGTGTGACCACCCGGCCAAAAGGAAAAAAAAAAAAAGGTGAAAAAAAAAAAAACCAAACCTCTCCTGGTCTGGGTTTATTCTTCCTCTTAGTTCCACCCCCAACCTCCACCCCCGGTGTCCTTCTTAGAGATCAAGAAATAATAAGGAAACATCTTTTATAGCCACATTAAATAAGAGAAACTGATATACATTATTTTTTCTTTCTTTTTTAAGATAACTTTTAAGAGTCCTGAGTTGCATATAGGTGAGACATAGAAATTAAAGGGTTTTCAGCCAGGCCGTCCTGAAGGAGTTATTCTGCTAAAAAACAAACAAAACGGTCGTAGTTGTCCGACAGGCCAATGGTTAAACCTCTTCATGACAGTATCAACACTGGCTTCTCCCGGTTCACCGTGGACGTAGAAGAAGTCAGTGGCCCCCGCTGCAGGGGCCGTGTATTAGTGGTGACTGGATAGAACAGCAAAGACCATAAGCCTGTGTGTGCCACTCTTTGCTTTAACAGTGTATCCTACTAACAAGCCTCACCTACCTGACCCAGTGAGTTTTAACTCTACACTTCATTGCTTTCCTCTGCCCCTACCTTTTTTCCTTTTTTTTTCTTTTTCCTCTTATTTTTCCTTTTTAAAAATATTTGTGTTATTAACAGGAATTTCATATTTGGTGTGGCTTAACTATATTTCAGAAGGTCATCAGATTGTGAGACTGCTTCCTTGAAACATTTTTGTGCTATTGTTTTAAAAAAATAATAATTAAAAAACAGTTGGCGTTAATAAAAATGTCAATGTGAAATTGATGTCCTGATTTCTTTTATTCTCTTTCATAAGAAACTATAAACTTTCCTGTCACTCACTAGGATTATAAGAAGTTTTAACGACCAAAGGATTTTTTGAGTCTAAGAAAATCCAATTTCTGAATTTCTTAATAATACCTAAACAGAAAAATCCTAAGATTCTTTCTAAATTCGTTCTGGATGCTCAGAAGTCTCTTAGAGATCCTTAGAGTTAGCATTTGGGAGTTAACTAGAGACTTAACCAGTTGACGTTTATCGAGGCTTTCCTGTCCAGGGGCCACACTCATGGCCGCGCTAGAGGCCATCTAGGCATGTGCTTAAGGCATCAGCAAAGCAGGGACACCAGAAAGTCTGAGAAAAGAAATCTGCTTTTAATAATAAGAACTCAAGGGGCCCCTGGCTGGCTCGCTCAGTAGATTGTGTGGACTCTTGATCTCTGGGTTGTGAGTTCAATCCGCATGTTGGGTGTGGAGCCTACTTAAAATTAAAAAAACAAAAAAACTCAGAAGTTTATAATTAAAAGTTCTCGAAAGAAGGTACTTCAGTTTCAGCATACATGCAGGTTTTGTGTTTAATAGTTTAGTAGTTTGAATTTTGCTGGGGCAGAAGTGGTGCAGGAAATCTTCCATGTCCCCTTCAGAGCTGCTGTCCATCCTGTTCTGTGCCTCAGGAGGGGTTGGCCCCAATGGATTGCATTAACAGGCTCCTTTGCCCTCTGACTTCAGGCTGTGTTGATCCAATTAGTAATACCTTCAAGATCAAAAGGCATGAGGAAAGGATGGTGAAGGTATTTATTCCCCAGGCTTCCTCATACCCAGGTCACAGGGGTTGTCTGTGTCGCTCTACCAAAGACCATGACTCCTAATTAAGCAGCCCTCTCAAGCTTCTAGCTCCTTCACTTTGCCCCTTCAAATCTAGGAATAGAAAGAACTATTCCCCTTCTAGCTCTGGATTACTCCATTATTCCTTGTTGGTTCTCCTGAACTTTCCCATGTCTTTGTAAATAGTCCCCTTATTAAACCTTCTTCAAGTTACCCAGTTCGAGTGTGTTCTCTGTTTTCTACTAATATCTTGACTGATTCTGGCACTGGAGTCCTGATGATTTGGGTCTCTAAAGGTCTTAATTCAGCCTTTTTGGTGTCAGATGTTTTACTTTATTGTTTATCTTCCAAGTAGCTCCCTATCGGGTAATAGACTCAATTTACAGGTGAGAAAGCAGGCTCAAAAAAATTAGGTAAAGTAGTTATACAATGAATAACTTAGAACCAATGGTCAGCCCAAGCTCACTGGTCTCTAAATCCTGTGTTGCTAATTGTCATGTCTTCACGATTAGAAGATCATGCAGTCAGACTGGATCTAGGCAACAGTTTTAAATATATTGAATGATTTTCCTTTAACCCTAAGACTTCTTGGTTAAAGCTTTTAGTAAAAATCAGAAAGTTGAAAAAGAAATGTGGGGCACCTGGCTGGTTCAGTCAGTAGAGCATGTGACTCTTGATCTCAGGGTCTTGAGTTTAAGTTCCTCATAGAGCTTGCTTAAAAAAAAAAAAATTATTTAAAAAAAAAAAGGGGGGATGAATGGGTTGATACTTCCTATAGAGAATTTTATATTATTTTTTATTAATGGGAAACAATAAAGCTTTTTGGAATACTACATGGTGGTGGATGAATTCTTAAACTTCCAGTTTCTAAGGATGGGTTTCAGGATGCAAGGAACCCCTTGAAATTATCTGTAAAGAACATATCTCTGTAGTGTGCAATTTAGAGGGTATGAGAGGAGTTCTGTAGCTTTAAAAGAGTTCTTTCAGTTCTATTACCCAAACAGGTCCTAGAATGTTATCAGAAAGACTTGGAGCCACATCTGTAGGGTTAGTGATTCTTTTTCTTAGCAGGGCAGAAAAAAAAAAAAAAGCTTCTGATCATCTATTTATAGCATTGAATCTATACTTATAGACAGCCTCAGTTTTGACTGAATAATCAATTACTTGGTGAGAAATGAATCTCCTCTGGGGCACCTGGGTGTCTCAGTCATTAGGCATCTGCCTTCGGCTCAGGTAATGATTCCAGGGTCCTGGGATCGAGCCCCACATCAGGCTCCCCACTTTGTGGGGAGCCTGCTTCTCCCTCTCCCACTCCCCCTGCTTGTGTTCCCTCTCTCACTGTGTCTCTCTCTGTCAAATAAATAAAATCTTGAAAAAACAAAAAACAATGAGTCTCCTCTTACTACACACTGGTTTTAGGCTCTCAGCGTTGTTGTTTAATTTTTTTTATAAGACTGTCTTCTCTTTTGTGATAGTACAAAAACTCACCCAAGATGGACAGTGCCTTCTTGTACCACCCCCGGTCGACACAGACTGGCCAAGGTGTTTGGTTTCAAACACAAGTATAAGCGATAGGAGACCCCGGGGTGTTCGTAAATATGAGGCCAAACAGCTGCTTTCCCTCAGAAACCACATCAGAGGATTGGTGGTTCCATCAGCACATGCAATGGCAAACGTGATTGGTGGCAGGGCCAAAAGGAAGGAGAGTCGACGCGTCGTTAGTGGCACTTGTAAAAAGGTCTGGTTGCCCCTGTAGTTCTGTTGCTGGCGTCCGGTGGCTGTAGCTTTCACCATTGAACTTCTGGTTCCAATACTGAGCTAGAATTGGCAACAGAGGAGAAACATAGCTTACTATTAATCTACGCTTTCTCAGAGAAGTTGCCAGCCGCTGACAGCAGACATGCTGCACACGAATTAAAAGATGACTACCAGGAAGAAAAAAAATTAAATCTTGTCATAGTTTGACCATACCAGTCTGGTCCTCTGAGACACCTGCCTCCCCCTCCACCCCCAACCAAACTTAACCTTTGTCACCTATTTGACAAATTGTGCGGGTATATTACATCATACTGCAATTTCAGCCCACTCTATTAGGCGGCTGATTATCTACTTTGTGTTATATATGCTAATCTTATGGATATTCTCTTCTTAGTGTCTCTACTATTTAGACTTCTACTAAGGAAGTTAAGAAAACTAAATATTGAATGGCTAATGATTCAATAGAAGTCTCAAGAACACAGAATGCAAGATAATGCAAGGCGAGATGGAGAAACAGTTTATAAGAAAAAGTACAAAACATTTAAAATAGTTGACATGAATGAGGATGGATGAGGTGATTGTTGCTTTCTTAAGATTTTTTTTTTTTAAGATTTCATTATTGATTTGAGAGAGAGGGAGAAGAAGAAGCAGGCTCCCTGGGGCACAATCCCAGGACCCTGGGATCATGACCTGAGCCGAAGGCAGATGCTTAACCAACTGAGCCACCCAGGCGCCCCGTAAGACTTATTTTAGAGACAGAGAAAGCATGAGTGGGAGGGGCAGAGGGAGAAGGAGAGAATTTCTCAAGCAGACTCCATGCTGAGTGCAGAGCCTGATGCACCTTGAATCTCAGGACCCTGAGATGAAGTCCTGAGTCAAAGAGTTGGATGCTTAACTGACTGAGCCACCCAGGTGCCCAACTATTGCTTTCTTTCTTTTTTTTTTTTTTAAGATTTTTTTATTTATTTGTTTGAGAGAGAGAACACGAGAGGGGGGAGGGTCAGAGGGAGAAGCAGACTCCCTGCTGAGCAGGAAGCCCGATGCGGGGCTCGATCCTGGGACTCCAGGACCATGACCCGAGCAGTCGCCTAACCAACTGAGCCACCCAGGCGCCCCCAACTATTGCTTTCTTAATAGGTCAGTTCCCTCCTCTAGGAATAGAGCACTTGAAAGGGGAACG